CTGGTATTTATCTTTTACCAACAATTTTTCTAACAGTTACCAACTCTTTCATAAATCTACCGGCACGAAAGAAATTAATCCATCTTAGGAAACAGAACAATCGAATCGTCCTCAAAATGAATGAACAGTTGAGTTGATTTAGTGATCCAATGACTGAATTGCTCACCAGGCCCAACTAATATAAGCTGTTATGGGCTGGCCCCAAAAATGATGGACCAGAAAAGGTGTGGCCAATTCATTTTTATTTAGATTTGCCAACGTGTAAACTTCATAATTTTTTTTTCGAATAAATACATTAAAAGTCCTAAAACTTGTCTTGAATGTGTAATTGAGTTCTAAAACTTTCAAAAAGTTGCAATCAAATCCTTAAACTTGTCAAGTTGGTGCAATTAAGTCCCTCCGTGTAATCCGTCCAATTTGACTAAAGGAAAATAATGACGTGACTTTCTCATTATTTTCTTAAAACACGTGGCAGTGATATGGCATCCTCCAAGTGCCACATTAGAAAAAACTTGTAAAATTTGAAAAGAACAAAAGAGATTAAAGAGAAAAGCATAAGAATTAAAAAAATAAAAAAGCTAAATTATGATTTATTCACACGTCTGGATGAGTTAAATAGAGCAATTAAAAGGATCAACTAGCGAAAATTGAGTCTAATTAATTGAGATTAGCACTTTAAGATTTTGCTAATAAGGTCTCTTCCACTGAGGTTACTTTGTAAAATTAGTGAAAGCTACCCATCCAATTGATTTCGCTTAGATGAATCACAGCAATTAGTGATCATGATGGACGGATCATGAAAATCATAAGACGAGCCCTAAAACTTATCAATTTCCCGCGTTTAAATCTTAAATTCTGTTCACTCAAATATTAAAACTTGCAACTACGATGGCATTTCGAGTCATTTCTTTTTGACAGAATGATTCGATTGGATACAAAATTATAAGTTTTAGAATCTATCTCGTAATTATCTCATGATAAGTCCAGAGTGAAAGAGATAAATTGGGACAGAAGTTGGCATGCAATGTGTGGGGGTGACTTTGGCTTGACTGCATTAATCTGCATTCAAGAGGGCTACTCGTCTTTGGTGAGAAAGGACAAGAGAAGGGGCTGCAAGTACTCATCAAAGTCAACTCGAGAATTTTTTTAGTCAACTCACTATGATTGATTCTACTGTGTAAACACCAAAATAATTTCCTCTAATAAAGTTTGAAACTTGGCAGACAACATTGATCTTCTTCAGATGCTTCTTCTAAACATCGTACAACCTCTAAAGGCACGAGCTAATCCCATTTTAGATGTTATCCGACAAAAAATTCTTCTACAATAAGGCGTCATTGAGCAATGACGGTCGTGAAGATATTCGATGAGCAGTACACACAGCACATGGCTGTAACAGATGTGCTCTACAGCAATCAACATTTACAGTGATCGTAACGGATGCGTAGATGTAACTGGATTCGCTTTCAAACTAAATCTACAGTGATGGGTGTGTGAGATCCTTATGATAATGTCTAGAGGGGTAACTGTGCAACATCAAACGAGCATCTTTTACCTCCAAACCAGATCAAATGTAGATTATTGAGTAAAAATTAAGAGGCAAAGCAGCTTTTGAGGTTGTAGCATGTAGCGCGGCCGTTGAAAGGAATCATACCAAAGCTTCAAACTTGCTTCTCCACCTGTCTTATTCTCTAGGTGGAACCAACTATGTAGGTAAGTGCTCGTGGTCTAACGTCGTTAAGCTTGTCTTAAATGACCAAGTTTGGGAGAAAGTTTGTCATTCCCCCACGTTTTCAACATCGCATCAGCAGCGCAATCCTCGTTTTATTTATTTATTCTCGTCCATCTGTTTCCATCTGTTGAACCCATCTAGGCGCAACTGTCAGGTTGACCATCCATAGCAAACCATGGCGCATAGAGATGGAACTTGAATGGGCCAGACGTTGTTTTCAAGTCCAACAAGATCTTGTGATTTACTGAGTCCAACGTGGAGGAACCTGAATTGTTCTGCGAGTCCTTGCCGTGTAAATGGCAAAGACCACCTTCCCCAGTCACACACCTAACCACTTGACTTAACTCGTGTTGACAGCGCACGTTTCTATTTCACATTGTAGATCTAATGTGCTTTCAAATTTTACAACTGACAAAAGAACTTGGTCGGTTTCCAGGTCCAGTAAGAATTGGCCAAGACCAAGAGCCACTGATTCGAGTTGGGTCCAAGCCATGAACCGATCTACTGGGAAACCGATCACCCTTGCTTGCCTGTGGGAGTTATGTCAATATAGTCATTTGCGAATGTGATCACAATGCTTGCATGTTGAAGTGAAGGGCTTGCATCTTCTGGAAGGTACTCCTAGATCATCCATATGGTCGTGGTGATGCAGATTCAATTAGATATTCTGTAACGGGCGTGAAACTTCTATAATAATATTAGAAGTTATCAAGTTGATTCCTGCTATCCACTCTTTAACCTAAGAAAAAAGAGAAAAAAGAACAATAGAAACTACTTTTATCGATCACCCATCTCGCCCCTCTCAAAATGGAAGGCTAATACTGTGAAGCAAAGAAGGGAATCTTCTCTTTTGTTGGGTGTATTTATACAAAAATTGATGTTAATGCACGACATTACATGAGGCAAAACATCCGAACATATAAGAAGAAGAAGATGAAAAGAACTTAGAATTGTCAGCGAAGAGACTGTACGTTTGAATTTTCATTTTGATGTTGGTGGTAGGGTTTGTAAGGTCCCAATCATCCAGTCACTCCGAGTTGTCAAACACGTTTGCATCAATTAGTCCTTTCCAATTCCCACTTGCGGTAAATTGGGATTTAGACACAACAACAGCATGATAAGCAAATGATTAAGTTAAAATCCTTCTAAATATAAAGAAAATTGCAACTATATCAGGAGCTGCAAAAGTTCCCGTGAGATTTTTCTTGAGAATCAAAACCCTAGTTTTCTATCAATTCCCAGAATACACATCCGAACACCTTTTAATCAAACAACGGAGATGTACAAACCCAAGAAGGCGGGAAATACGACCTTGATGTCCATCCATCGGGCAGACAAGACAGCACGACTTTTGCATATGATAAGGCATGTGACCATATTATATAAATCAGAGAAGCAGAAGCTGCTTTTTTTTTTTTTTTTTTTTTTTTTTTTTTTTTTTTTTTTTTTTTCCCCCCCCCCCCCCCCCCCCCCCCCCCCCCCCCCCCCCCCCCCCCCCCCCCCCCCCCCCCCCCCCCCCCCCCCCCCCCCCCCCCCCCCCCCCCCCCCCCCCCCCCCAAATCACTAATGATGATTAAATTAGCTTGTTGATACAAATCTCGACGATCCAATGGAGGAGGATAACGATAGATTAAATAAGTGGGTACTGGAGATATCGACGTGTGTGAGATATTTTCGGCTGTAATTAATAATTATAAGCTGGGAAATAATATAATTGGGCAAAGTGCACCACTCCTGATCTAGCCAAATCAAGAAAATAGGACACGTAACATGGGGACCCATGACAGGAGATCCCTCGCACGTGTCAAACAGATGGTCAGGAGCCATAAATATCACAGATGTGACCTTGGTTAGAAAGGCATTCGTTATTGCATTATCGGATTAAGTTTTGACCTTAACAGAGCTTCCCAAAATTTATGGAGACCCATCTAACAATTGACAATTTTTTTTATCCGATTGACAGAATTTGCTTCTTCGTCCGATGATCGACATTAAAATTTTTCATTTGATGATGGGCGATTGCAAAATGTCTGATTCAACGTAAAAAAATTAGGAGTCATAAAACGATGATAGGAAAATATCATTATTTTTCCTTTTGACGCCATACTAGAAAGACTCGTCAAATGATCCTTAATATCCACCTTCAAGGTGTCACTACCAAGTAATCTTTTTTTGGCTTGACCCACATTGATCGAATGTGATCATTCATGATGAATTAGAGCAAGGTCGTCTCTCTAGATTTGTTCGGTCTAGTGACGAATGAGTCCCTAACTGATTAGATAGGTGCAAAGAGTAGCTGGTATGGACCAAAGACATCAAATAAGACGAGTCCTAGGCTCCTTAGATGATGAAGGGTCGAGACCAAATAAAATCACACATCAAATAGGCGGAATATCGCCATGCAATATAAGGGACATCGGCGAGTACGTTTGTGACGGGTTATGCCACAAAAGAGGGGGATTGCAACATTTAAATCTCATATCCATAATAAGGGGGCTTGTGACATAAATGTTAATCTTTCTAGTCAGTTCTGTTCCGTTCCGCTCAAACAAATCAGGCAAACACGACAGGAATATTTTAGCGTAAGCTAATGATCAAAAGACCACTTTTTCCCATCAATTTGCCCATAGGAGAAAATACTAATATCGATGTCAAACTCTCTTTTTCTACCCATTGTTATTTCCTTTCATCAACCTCTTAGGTTGCAATTGATCATCTGATTTTTGGTTAGAGAGAGAGAGAGAGAGAGAGAGAGAGAGAACCCCATTTGATTTGTATCATAAATTGAAAGAGAGAGAGAGAGAGAGAGCCCCACGACAATGAGGAAATAAATTGCCAGTTAGCTAGAATAAGAAAATGAGTGAGGAAAAATACTCCCAAAAAATAAAATATAAATAAAATAAACAAATCACATTCGACGACCCGGACTGGCCATGATTTCAGCTGGAATGGGGTCGTGGTGGTTACTTAACCGTCCGATGCGATGGCCCCCCAACCTGTCCGTAACCCCGCTTAGCTGTAACACGGCGCGGGAAAAGTAGGTTTGGACGTTGAAGGGCAAGTTTGAAAGGTTGTTGAGCAACGGTCTTTCACTTCGCATCCTCCTCCTCCTCCTCCTCCTCCTCCTTCGCCTTCGCTTCACTGCCTGTCGTGTCTCGTTCACAAAAAGTCCAACCTCAGCCACAAAGGACCAGAACCCTCCCACACACAAGATTGGTTTCAGCTAATTAAGCAGGAGGGGTGGTGGTGTTGTAAACTAGAACCCAAAAGAAACAAAAGGGGTCGATCCGCAGTCAGCTGCTCGTCCTGGAATGGCCCCCAACCACCAGTCAGCCACCAGATCTTGAAAGATATACACACCCATTGGGAATTTATATACAATCTCCCCACTTATACACGCTCAATCCAATCTCACTCTTCCTTTCTCAGCCCCTTCCCCTCTCTCTCTCTCTCTCCCTAACTCTTCTTGCTCTTGCACGTAAGTGAGACTGTACCCGTTACCACTTACCCGCACTTCAACACCGTGTGCGTGTGTGTGTGGGAGGGTGTGGAGGAGGAGGAGGAGGAGGAGGAGGAGGAGGAGGAGGGAGGTCGCCATCGTCATCATCCACTTATCGTTACAAGCCGCCACATCGAAGCAATCTTCTCTCGCCTTGGCCACGAGCTGTGGGCGAGATTTTGCTTCCCATCTTGGGTCCAAGTAAGTGCTTCTGTGAATCTGAGCTCTGAAGTTTCTGTGCTCTCCTTATCTTTGATGGATTGGAGCGGTTGATTCGGTTAGTTCGCTTCTCGCGGAAAAAAGGGAGTGTCAAATGCGTTTCGCAGCGTGACTTCACTTTGGCTTCTGCTTAGCAGAGTTCAATGTGAAAATAACGACCGTGAGAGATCGGAATCGATCCTCATCTAACTAGTGAGAACTTGTGTCTGTTCTAGTCATCTTTTGAATTTTCCCGGGTTTCCGTACTCTTGCTTTTGTTTTCAAGCACGGATCAGGGGAAAACTTTTTGTGACTCCGTGAAGTATGGATCAACCGATTTGAGATCAATACAGTATTGGGTGCATGTTGTTTTAGCTTCAAACGAGAGGTGGATACAAATCATAAGGTGTTTGACTGGTCTGCTGCATGATGGTTCACATAAGAATAACTGGTTAGTTTGTCAGCTCTAAGTGGCTTAGCACAGTTGGCAACTTGAGATGAGAAATGCGTGCGATTCAAATGAAGACATCGGTGTAGCAGTATGTTTTAAAAACTTCCACTAGCATATGGTGTAAGAACACTTTGTTCTGTACCATATGGAAGCCGATTCAGAATATCATGTGGGTGCTTCGACTGCATGGCCCTTTCCATGGACGAATGATAGAGTTCCAGTGCAACATTGTTTAGTCCTTACAATGGGAAAGAGACTATGAGTATAGATTCACTCCTCAAATCTCAAGGACCATCCCTGGTAGAGTAATGTCGTGGTGCAACATAATGTTGGGTATAGCACAATGAGCGTGGAAATTCATTCGTCACGAATGAGTACCTTGATATAATTCACAAGTTTCGTGAGAACTTGTAATAACTTCCAAAGATTCTGCATTTGTTGGGGGATAAAGTGTCCTCCATGAAGCTGCATTATCAGTTTATTGATTATGATAACTTGCAGAAATTGAAGGATTAGTACAAAGAAACTCAGATGAGCCTAGCACTCTGTAATTTGCAAGTTTAATTGTCCTGTAAATGTTTTAGGATGATGCTTTCTATTGATCGTTCAATCTCTATGATTATTTGCACCTTCAATTATTGTCTTGAAGATAGTTGTGCCGGGAAAAAGTACTGCTTTCAGCGTAGATGCTCAAAGACCTTGCTACGCCCTTTCTTGTAGGAACAAAGCTTGAGCAATGGCAGAAGAGTTGGAGAAACCATTGCTTAACCCGGAAAACTTCAACAGAGATAATATCGATTTGGTAAGTAGCAGAAAATTGCTCTATGATTTAACTCCCTGAAGTGCATATTTTATGGTAGAAACAAATTTGCTGAGCATGCACTGTTGAAACAGGAACGCCTACCCCTAGAAGAAGTTTTTGAGCAACTGAGGACATCACACCAAGGTCTCTCTTCTGAGGATGCTGAAGCTCGGGTGACCATTTTTGGTCTGAACAAGCTGGAAGAGAAGCCAGTAAGATATCTCAATCTCCAAATTACAGGGACTTGACCGTATTTGCCTATCATATTTAAGTGATTTGAAAATTTTCTCACTGAGAAGATTTTCAAGAAACGTCAACTTGTAAATGAAAGTTCAGATACACTACAGACGCCAACACCGTTGACTGATGCGATATCAGAGGCTGACAACTATTCCTGAAATTTTTTTTTTATCAACTTCGCTGCTTTTAGTTGTTGTATACAAAATATTTGGCTGTTTGTAGCATCAACCTCAGTTGTTTATTTACCAAAAAAGACAGAAATCAATTGCCTACAACGTTGTGATCTAAGAAAATACACTACGCTTCTTTGACAAATTTCCACCAATTTTTTCTGCAGGAGAACAAGTTCTTAAAATTTCTGAGTTTTATGTGGAATCCACTGTCTTGGGTTATGGAAGCTGCAGCAATCATGGCTATTGCCTTGGCTAATGGTGGAGTAAGTTGACAAGAATTAAATCCTTTTCCTGCTCTTATTTGCAAATAGATTACTTACATTGACTTTGGCTCCATTTGTTTCCGGTTTCAGGGCGAGGGTCCCGACTGGCAAGATTTTGTTGGTATTGTTTGCCTCTTGCTGATCAACTCGACTATCAGCTTTATAGAGGAAAACAATGCTGGTAACGCAGCAGCAGCACTTATGGCCCGTTTGGCTCCAAAAACTAAGGTACTTGTAGAGGGGAGCAAGAGGATGGTCATCTCTGTAATCAGAAGAGTGCTGAGATCTTATTCATCGGTGATAATGCACGTTTTCACCCCTCAGAATGTAAATTTTTCTCTCCGAATTCTCTTCATGCAGGTTCTCAGAGATGGGCATTGGCAAGAGATGGATGCTGCTGTCCTAGTACCTGGGGACATAATTAGTATAAAACTCGGAGACATCATCCCTGCGGATGCACGGCTTCTTGAAGGAGACCCATTAAAGATCGACCAGGCAACCGCTACTTATACGTTATAATGATTATATAGTCGAAATTCTCTTAATCAATGTCAGTCATTTTACTCCTAAGGCCCGTTTGTGCGTGCAGTCTGCTCTCACGGGAGAATCTCTGCCAGTGACGAAAAGGACCGGAGATGAAGTTTACACGGGATCAACATGTAAGCATGGAGAAATTGAAGCCGTAGTTATTGCAACTGGGGTTCACTCATTCTTTGGAAAAGCTGCACATTTAGTTGACTCCACTGAAGTTGTTGGACATTTCCAGCAGGTAATATTGAACCCCGGTTTATGCATATTGAGTTTCTCAGTCCTGAAACTTCCCTAGAAGGCCATGACTAGTCCATAAAGAGTTGCATGTGAGTCCTTTGATCATCGCTGAAAAAAGTACTGCAAAAATTTTGGATTGATGCTTTAGTACTCGTGCAATTTTATTCACATTCGTTTTCCTAGGCAGATCTTATTAGCTTTTCATTCGGTCAAGGCCTACTGTTATCTTGCAGCTCAATTCTGTCTTCATGTGCTCATCATATCATGCTGAACTGGCTTTAATGAGGTCACTAGGATAAAGAAGACCGACTTAAGTCTACAAGCTTAATGAGACATCTCAATCATGATATTTTCAGGTACTTACCGCCATCGGGAACTTCTGCATTTGCTCCATTGCTGTGGGAATGATTCTCGAAATCATAGTCATGTTCCCGATACAACACCGCTCATACAGAGATGGAATCAACAATCTTCTTGTTCTATTGATCGGAGGTATTCCCATTGCCATGCCGACAGTGTTGTCTGTCACTTTGGCAATTGGTTCTCACCGGCTCTCTCAACAGGTAAGACCTCTTAATCTAGCTTCTAGCATCCTACTGCACAACAAAGCTAGCTAGAAAGTTGGAATTTTGTCTCTGCATAGCTAATGTGATCACCAAGATAATTTACTACCTTTCATCTCAACATGGATTGTTGACTCTCTCTTCTTGTGTTCCTGTCTCCCAAAAGGGTGCCATTACAAAAAGGATGACAGCAATCGAGGAGATGGCGGGAATGGATGTCCTCTGCAGTGATAAGACTGGGACTCTTACTTTGAATCGCCTCACAGTTGATCGCAACCTCATTGAGGTATGAAAATTTTGTGAGAATCTTTATTTACATGGATAACAGCAAGTAATCAAAGTCAAACGGTTAGCTGTTTAATATAAACTTCCTCATTTATAAATATGTTTTTTCTCCTCTTTGAAATGCAAGTCTTATTTGTCAGAGTAAGCTTGACACCCCATTCAACCACTTCTTACAGGTTTTTAACAAGGATATGGACAAAGACTTTATTGTCTTGCTAGCAGCCAGAGCATCCCGACTAGAAAATCAGGACGCCATCGATGCAGCCATTGTTAACATGCTTGCAGATCCAAAGGAGGTACCGACGCACACACAAAAAGATGCATATTCCAAGTTTTCTTCTTTTTGGGGTGAAAAATTTGGTACTTTCTTCTGCTTTTCTATGTGCTTCTGTACAAGTGACAGTTTTCCTATATTCAGGCTCGTGCAAACATCCAAGAAGTCCATTTTCTACCTTTCAATCCAGTGGACAAGCGCACTGCAATCACTTTCATTGATTCTGATGGCATTTGGTATCGTGCAAGCAAGGGTGCTCCTGAACAGGTATTGCTGCGGCCAAAAGGCCGCTATAGTATATGATTAAGAGAGTACCAATGCCAACTTGCATAAAATCTTAAAGGGAATTAGTTCAATACAAGCTGGTCCAGAACATCTGTTCCTATTTATATAAAGTTGTGCCTCTTTCAATTGTTGGCCTCTCAATAGCATCCCATCCCTTACGTCCATATCCTTTAGCTTGTAGTCTCACCTAGTACCTGTGGCAATCCTTTAATTCCCCATGTATAGCATTCGGAACATTCTTCATTCCTCAAAATGCTATTGCTTTTGTATTCAGAACTACTATCTCCATCACTCACATGTCCAATATGTGTGTCAAGCTGAGGGTAAAATCTTTTGATATTCTTCCGAGCGTCAGCCCATGGACAGGAACAAGCACTATAAGCATATATTTTCTTCTTTCCAGATAAATCAGATTCTCTTATCATTCTAATTTGACTTTACAATATGATTCTGAGCTTCTGCGCCAACTGTTTTCCTGTATCAGATTCTCAACATGTGCCAAGAGAAAAATGAGATTGCGGGAAAAGTACATACCATCATTGACAAATTTGCTGAAAGGGGTTTGCGGTCACTTGCAGTTGCTCTTCAGGTAATCAAGGAGCGAGAAATTCCTCGTTCTATTCTTAAATGCAGCTTACCATGAGATGCATTAGAAAAGCAGTTGCTCGAAATTCTATTGCTCAAATGATAGGATTCCCCATTTTGTATTAGTCCAACCTAAAGTGGTTTGCAGGAATTGAATATCTTCATCCTTGCAGGAAGTTACAGAGAAAAGCAAGGAAAGTCCTGGAGGCCCATGGACATTCTGCGGCTTGTTGCCCTTGTTTGATCCTCCAAGACACGACAGTGCGGAGACAATTCGGAGAGCTCTTAACCTTGGAGTTTGTGTCAAGATGATTACAGGTACGAACTCTACAAGCACCAAGAGCACTTCTCAGACCTTATTTAACATGGCTTGGTTCTATAGTACTACCTGAATTGATTCGTTACATCCTTGTCCATAGTGCTAAAGCTACCAACAATAATGCACAAGCAAATACTTACTGAGTTAATCATTTTGCAACTACAGGTGACCAGTTAGCTATTGCAAAGGAGACGGGCAGAAGACTTGGCATGGGAACAAACATGTATCCTTCTTCAGCGCTGTTAGGCCGTGAAAAGGATGAAAATGAAGCTCTCCCAGTGGATGAGCTCATAGAGAAGGCCGATGGTTTTGCTGGTGTATTCCCAGGTATGTGAAAGGATTTTCCTCTTGTCAAATTAGACTAGTAATTCAAAACCTAATAGCTTACGTAAAACAGAAAGAAGTCAACTTTCTTAACCAAATTTTTTCATTAGCATGTCTATATATTGTCACCAGATTATTTGAACCAATAGAAAAGTCGAGTTGTGTGAAAAGATATACGGACATGATCTCATGTATGCTTGCAGACAATGGCATAGATGTACTACATCTACATATCCTTTATTAATGATCTCTTGGTTACTTTTGTGACCTGAATGCTACCTACAGAGCACAAGTATGAGATTGTGAAAATTTTACAAGAAAAGAAGCACGTGGTTGGAATGACTGGAGATGGTGTGAACGATGCGCCAGCTCTAAAGAAAGCAGATATCGGAATTGCTGTGGCTGACTCTACAGATGCCGCAAGGAGTGCGGCTGATATAGTCTTGACGGAGCCTGGTTTAAGTGTGATCGTTAGTGCAGTCTTAACTAGCCGAGCTATTTTTCAGAGGATGAAAAATTACACTGTAAGTATACCTCTCGCTGAACAGACAGTTTCATATTAGAGGAGTGCTTCATTCTGATGGAACGCACACTCCACAAGCAAAATCTGGTCTGATGTTTGTAGACACCAAGATTGCCTTTTTTCTTGATACCAAAGTGCTCCCAGTTGAAAGAGATTAGACAATCTAAGTAAATTTTCTTCAAGTGCTTATTAGAGGACTGATCGATAAGAGCAAGTGTGCATGGTGAATCTTCTGTAGTGACTCACAGTTATTCTTCCTTGTAATAATTGTGAGATGATACTTATCAATTTTATCGATGTGCAGATATATGCAGTCTCAATAACTATAAGGATTGTGGTAAGATGAGCTCATATCTGACAATAAAATTCTCTCTTCATACTCCATGAATGTGCAACACCTTATAATTGTTCTTCCAAACTATATTGCAGCTTGGTTTTGTGCTCCTAGCATTGATATGGGAATATGACTTCCCCCCTTTCATGGTCCTTATAATTGCAATTCTGAATGACGGTAATTTTTCTGATTCCGTTGACTTTTTCTGTTGTGTCAAGTACAATATAAAGGATTTCACGCCCACTATTTTGTCTTCCAAAATTTAAAAGTTCGGTGTGGCTACACATCCAATGTTTCATGAAATGACAATATTGTCAATGTTGTCATAAAATTTTTAAAACAATAATCTCTCTCTCTCTCTCCAGAAGAAGAAAACCACTTTGAATAGCTGCTCATGAGTATGCTATTGATGTCCAGGTACAATCATGACAATCTCCAAAGATCGTGTAAAGCCATCTCCAAGGCCTGATAGCTGGAAGCTCAACGAAATATTTGCAACTGGAGTTGTGATTGGAACATATCTTGCCTTAGTCACTGTCCTCTTCTACTGGGTAGTGCTTGACACTACATTCTTTGAGGTGAAGAATCTAAAGTCTTTTCCATCTTCGAAGTTGACTAGGAGAAGTTAGTGAAAAGTTAAATACAAGGCTAACCTAAGTTCTCCAACAGGATCACTTTGGTGTGAGTTCACTATCGAGCAACAGCGAGGAAGTCTCTTCTGCTGTATATCTCCAAGTCAGTATCATCAGCCAGGCCCTTATATTCGTTACCCGCAGTCAGAGTTGGTCATTTGTTGAGAGACCTGGAACCCTCTTGATGATCGCATTTGTGGTGGCTCAGCTGGTAAGCCTCGTCTTTGAAAGAGCTTTCACAATAAGCTGTCACTCATGCATTTACCAACATGTGCCGATTCCAACACCCCCATGATAAATGACCACGATCTCCAACTTCTGGAATTTGATAGATGAACACCAAGCAAAAATAGATGGATGACCTTCCAGCGAATTCATCTTAAGAATGGGAAGAAAAATACAACAGACTGAGAATGCATGATTTGCTGGCAAGAAATCCGTACGGCTTAGTCAAAACTTTTCCATTGAAAATAAGACAATGGATACACCTATTAACTTTGGTTAAGCCATTGGATTTTGATGCATCTCTGCGAATTTTTTGAGTGAACCTCAGCCACAAGTGCTTATTGTACAGTCCCAAAAAAAAAGCATCAGCAAGTTCCACAGTGGTAATATGAAAGCAATCTAGTGTCCTAGATCGACTCTTTACCTCCATCTACTAACAAAGCCTAAAACTCTGAGTTGACATCCTGACCCGAATCCAATTTGTCGGTGTTCAGGTGGCAACCTTGATCGCTGTCTATGCAAAGATAAGCTTTGCCTACATCAGTGGCATCGGATGGGGATGGGCTGGAGTTATCTGGCTATACAGCTTGATCTTCTACATACCACTGGACATAATCAAATTCACGGTTCGTTATGCTCTGAGCGGTGAAGCATGGAATCTTGTGTTCGATAGAAAGGTCAGTCCACACCTACTGTTAACAACTATTTCTTAGAAAATTCATCAAGAGGTGATCAAGCCACTTAATCCTTCACTTTCTTTTTGGAACAACAGACAGCCTTTACTTCCAGGAAAGACTACGGGAAGGATGAAAGGGCTGCTCAGTGGGTACTTTCTCAAAGAAGTCTTCAGGGGTTGTCTGCTTCAGACTTGGAGTTTAATGGGCGGCGGTCTCGATCTTCTCTGATCGCTGAACAGGCCAGGCGGCGGGCAGAGATAGCAAGGTACTTTCACTCTCCTAACTCTTTCACAAGGGAAGTTTTACATAAACTTCCAAATGAGTTAGTTGTATACATGTTTCATACATGAGACAGCTTAGAGAACATGTGTCATGGATTGTTATATGATATTTGACATAAAATTGCAGGCTCGGTGAAATTCACACGCTGAAAGGTCATGTGGAATCAGTTGTAAGACTTAAGAATCTGGATTTGAACATGATCCAATCGGCTCATACAGTTTGAGGGGTCAACATGCATTGTTGTGACGTTCAATTTTCTACTGAAGGCAAAACGGGAAGCAGTCACCCCTTGGAACCAATGGTCAGTAAAATTCTGCAAGAATTTTCACCTTCTCTTGCTCAGTGATTGTGTGGCTCTACATATGATATTCCAAATTCCTGGGCTCCAAGATGAGGCATGTATCTCTAAGGGGTCTCTGCTAATAACCTGTGCCACTTTCTTCTTGCTGCAATTTCCCATTTCTTAGTATGTATTTGCAATTTTTTGGGAGAGGAGGACTTCAGTTTTGAGCTTGAGATATTCTTCTTTCGGTTGGAGAGATTTATGTAATTTAGGTAACTCCAAAGGTAATAAAAGTGCTTGGCACAGCATAAAGTTTCTCTTCATTGGTTGGTGATTAGGTATAGCAAATTGGCAAAATATTCAAATGAATGATCTGTGAACTAGGTGCCTCAAGTATGACACAGCCTCACTTGACAAGGAGATACGAAGTAACAAAAATGAATAAACTAGGTGACCTCCCCGTGAAAAGTCCACAACTTTTTAGTGTCGCACTGTAGGAATTGAGCCGACAGACGAAACAATAGAGGATGTTCTGCCTAAAGTAAATACCGTGTATGATTATTCATAGATACCTTTTCGTCGTTCAAGATAGACATTGAACTGGGAGCACCGTGTAGAGTATATTTATATTCTGAAACTGAAACAAGTTGCAGTTACACCCCAAATAGGAAGTTGTAGAAAAGCACATTGACAAGAAGATAGGGAACAACTCCAAGGAGCTCAATCCAGCATGACCGTGCTCTCGCCACTTTATTTTATTGGTGAACGTGCCAAAACGATAAACTGACCTCATAACTTGATAGCTGCGACCACTCATGCCACCACAAACTCAGGACTGGTATGAGAAGCTTCGTCCCGATGATTTAGTTGAACATTGGCTCCTTCCCAAGCCTCACAGAGTTAATATAATCTGTTGGGGAATGTGCGGACAATCCCGGAAGCACCAATCCTACAACCCTAACCAATATGGAGAACCATCCCTCCTTGTACTCCGGTCCATGTGTGTAGCCCATTGTTAAACCTCTGATCAACTCCCAGAAGGCGTTCAAATATTTTGGAATTAGGTATCTAGGACCAAAGTAGTTTCTGTTCGGTTCCTCCTCCATTTTCTTGAAACATAAATATCAATTGAAAAATTAGTACCATGAAGAAAGAATAAAAAACTGAAGGGAAATTGCAATGAATGAAAATAAGCGTATGTACATGCATAACTCTTTTTCATTAAATATTGCAAACTCTGTTGATTAATAAATAAACATTACGATAATAACAACCAGGGTGACTTTTATTGCAAGACCCTAAAGCATCAGGCCTATTTACAGATTTATGGAAAGAAGATTACGACCAACGTAACAAATTAAACATTCTTTAACAACTGAAGGATGCATGGCACCTATTTCCTCCCAAAACTTAACTATTCAGAAAGTAGTGGGCCTGGTACGATACTGGTAGAGAACAAAGCCATTGAAACGCACAAGTTCATACCTGCTCAGTGTACCAGCTATCATAGTATAGACATATTCCAAAATGTTTATACAAGAAAGTTCGATCATCATAAGGCAACCTTGGAACAACGTCATTACAGTACACAACCCTGAAGTATTTCGGGTAGGGATAGTCCAAATGCTTTTCCATGAACCTCTGGAGCTGCCTGTCCCCAACTCTCGGTTGGCCAAATGTGTACACGCCCAACAATCTTCGCATTACCTCCATCTCCTCATGCAGCACCAACACTGTTGGGAACAAAATGGCAAGGGCGCCACCTAAACTGTGTCCTGTGACTACGAATTTTGCTTTCTTGTGCTCCTCAAGTAGGTTCTTAAGCTTACTTCTCACGGCATAATATGCAGTCATCTCTGCCGTCTGTGGCCCAAACCCGTCATTGCTGGTGCTTGCTAACGCTTCTGAGTCAGAAGCATTAGCACCATTGGCAAGAGCAAATTTCTTCTTGTCTAATTGGAGGTTCTCTTGGAAGGTGACCGTGTTAGTTCTGTTGCCCAAACCTAAGGCTTCCAAGAATCCCATATGAACTTTTCCCAATTTCGGGATCTCATACCAGGAATAATTGAAATCGGTACACCAATCGTCAGCATCAAAAGGTTCCGTGCCCCTGAAGCCGATTAGTATGAGATTTGCATCTACAGGCTTGTCGCATAGAATGAACACTTGAGTCGACCTTGCCTTTTGGTAATCTAAAAGAAAATCGTGCAGACAAGTCAGCAATAAGTGCATTAATCAATGGTAGCAGAAGATGAAATCAGTTGTGGAGATAGTTGGTCAACTAATAAGTCAAAGCTAATGAACGGTACACGTGCTGGTTTAGATATATCCACTGGATCTGTCTTACCATTCCAGCAGTTGTAGAAATCCACAAAATGCATCTGCATTCGCAAGAAGCAGATGTCATCACTAACAACAATAACTGATAGAAAATCCTTACCAAAAAAAAAAACAATAATTGATAGAAAAAGTTAGATGCCAAGGGAAGTGAGTAAAGAGAGTGATTAGCGTGCCTTCCAGCGCTGAACTACCACATTTCTAACGACTTTTTCGTTCTCGTATGCTAGCTTCGATGCCATGATGCAGAGGTCCATCAAAGCGCGATTTCCCAATTCTACTCTCACAATGCTTTCTTCAAATGCAGCGTCACCATGTTGGTCCGGCACATTCATGCCTTTGTAGAGGTCAATTCGCCCATCTAAATGGCCAATGATGCTGATGAATGTATCTGAGTCTCTACGTGGGACTACAACATTTCCTGCTCACATCAGAACACATCGTAAACTACCAGCCCAAAGCACAAGAAAGTTCACAATCACAATGTAAATTCTTTCCCCACGCTACTACAAAGTTACAGTTTCCATATATAACTCAGGGAATTGAGGAAGTGAAAAAGATTCAGACAATCGAACCACAAGCCGATCAGACTTCATGGAATAGGCAATGACCGGGGGAGGGAATCGTCCTAGAGAAGCTGAGAAAGCAGCAATAGAATTATTGCCTAAACTCATGCTATCAGAAAAAGCCAGCACTAAAGCATATATCAGCTCCACCAAGAAAATATATGCTATCATGCGTTAAAAAGCAAGTACACGTAGTAAATATTTCTTCCTGACAAAGCATTTGAACAATTTAAGGTTAGAATGTTATGCCCTTTCATCAAACTAACCGCCTATCAAACTGATTCTGGGGAAGCAAAAACAGACGCATGCTTCACAGTTCACACCACTGAACCCTGAGGATCTTTCTCCAGTCTTTACTCAATTATCACTACCGTTTCATTCTCCTTGGATGATACAAAAATCACGAAAAACAGAAAACGGAGTACCGCCAATTAAATTGGAGAGCAACCCGAGAAAGTTGCCATTTTCGGAGAGGAGATTGAGAACGATGTCCACCAAGAAACCGGTCCACTGCATGGGCCTCCCAAAGAAAGCGATGAGCCTGCGCGCGATGACCGAGACCACTATGACCCATCTGTGATCACTCGCGACCGCTCCCACGAATTCGCCCCCTTTCGAGCTCTCCAAGAACTTCACTCCGCTCCTCGCGTCGCCCCGCACGCCGTACTTCAACAGGTCACGGACCCCTCCGCCGTGCGGGTTCACTATGAGGTACTGAAACGCGCCGCCGCCGCCGCCGCCGCCGGCGAAATCGCGGTGCCCGCCAGCGGAAGTACCGCCAAGGTCTCGACTTTTGCGGTCCCGGTCGATCCCACGCCCGTTTCTTGAGGATTCACCGGCCATGGCGGTGGAGTTTCCGTTTCCTTTTCGAGTTTGGAGGTGGCTATGAGTGATTCTTGGTGGGTGGGGGTGTGGACGACAACCTTACACCGATGTTTATCGAAACAAACAGTGAGCTGGTTTCACATGTATACATAGACACTGCAGAGATGTTCGATCGATCCAGAGAGAAGCTGCTGTTTCGGACGCAGCGAAATGCAAATGTCAGTCTCCTAGGAACTTTTTTCTTTCTTCCTTTTTCGGTCGGTATCTTCGAGGAACTTCGAAGATGGAGAGAGATGGAAGGTCCCCGTGTGTTTTGTCGCTGAAAATGACGTTGTCTTCCTCTGTGGAATCGACGACGAAAAAGGTACGCGTCGGTTTGTTGTTTCGTGACATGGATATGGATATCCCGCGCTAGATAAAGTAGTATGAAAAACGGGAAAATAACAGGAATGGTCAATGAATTTTGACTTGACGTGCAGCGTGAGCTCCGAACTTTTAATTTATTCAATGTGATCCATAAATTTTAGCTCGATGTGCAATGTAGTTCATAAACTTTTACATTATTCAATATGATCTTTGGATTTTTTATACATGTTCAATTTAGTCTCTGAACTATATGAATTGTCCTTGAACTTGAATCAATAGAAGGACAATAATGAATTAAAAGTCCATGGACCACGTTAAACAAGTTAAAAGCTCACAGACCACATTACACATTGAGCTAAAGTTCATGAACCACATAAAATAAATTAAAAATCCATGGATCATATTACATATTGAGCCAAAATTCATGAACTATTTGTGTTATTTTCCATAGAAAAACCAATGACTTTGGCTTGGTGCAATGAAAAGATTGATGGTGATTGATTTTATGGCATGTCTCTAGTAATCCTGTTTTTTTGCTCAAACATTAAAATCAGCCCTCATACTCTTTTTTTTTTTGATGCCGTAAACAAATTGCTTATATAGTTATATGGACATGCATCTCTCTCTCTCTCTTCTAGCTTGAGCTCGCGGCGTCCATTGTCGCTTGCCGCTCAAGCTCGCGACCATTATGTTAGATCCAAGCGAGACGACAACGAGCGACATGGTTGACGTCCGCGGGGTAGTCCGATGTAAGCAGGATCGGTGGCCAGTGGTGGGAGGTTTGGATGCGAGTGGTCAATGTGGCGCCATAAAAATTTCGAGCAAATCATAGTGAAAAAACATCAGTAGTTCGACGTTGATGTCAGCGATACGATGATTCATATAATAAAAAATCGATTGGACATAAAAAAAAAATAGAAAAGAAGGACGATTGTGGAACATTTTAAAAAGTGAAGAGAAGCTTTTGAAACCCAAAAAAAAAAAAGTTAGAGAAACGGTTATAATTTTCACTAACCAATTTTGTATAATTTACCAACTTTTTTCTAATTAAGTTAGTAACTAATTTGGGTTTTCAATTCCCATTTGAGTTGTTTATCAACATTTATTGAATTTTTTTAATTTACCGATTTATTGAGTTTCCACTTCTAGTTACCTTAAATAGCTATGCTTGTTCTGGGATTAATTTATAAACTAATTCCGCTTAATTAATTTTTATTTGAGCTAGTTACCAATATTTATTTGATTTCTTTTTTGAAATTGCTTCTCTTATCTCTGACAAAAAAGAAATCTCTTATTTTTAACCAACTTTTATTGAAATATCTTACCAACATCTTAAACTTACTAATTCACAACAAAATACCAATCTTTATTTGGAGACTTAGTAACTTCATTTCCCATTAAGAAACCTAATTGAAAAGGTTGGTAAATTAAAAAACCCGAATAAACGTAAGTAGCTAACTTAAACGAGAGCTAGTAACTTAGAATTAGTTGATAACTTAATCGGAGAAAAGACGCTATATAACTTAAAGTATCCATATAAGAATTGGTAAATTTAAGGCATAATCAAGAAAAAAAAATGGTAAGAAAATTTTAAAAAAGAAGTTCGGTACATGTCTGCAGGCAGCATTGTCGACTAATATTAGAGCACTAAGTTGTGAAGCCTTTTGCAAATTGTGGGCTCGCCCCTTTTCGGCTTCGTTCTAAGTTCTAACCCATCAAAAGGAATCCGATTGTGATCAAACCTTATCTTGGGAGCTAAGATCAGTATCATATTCATCACCGCCAACGAACCCGAACGTCGTTGCGTGAAGGCAGAGAAATGGACAGCGTGGGAAGTAGGAAACTTCGTCGGGACGATGATTCCGCAGGAGGGAATGGCTTTCAATCTCGGAGACACAGACTTGCCCTTTTGCAGATTTAGGAAAAAAGATAAAGATCAGGGCATATCGCCATGTTTTCATGCGTAACCAAGGATTGGGTCTCGGACATTCCGAGTCTTTTCTTCTTTCCCACGAACCTCTCCAGGAACAGGTTACCAAGATGCAACTTGACACACCTGGATCGATGGCGATTTTGACATTCTCATGCTGCAAGCAGCCATGGCGCATAAACCGCGATTCCTGGACGGTCCGGTACATGTAGATAAGTCGAGACACATGCAGGGGGGGGGTGTGTCCTCATGTGGCATGCATGATTCATGTTCCAGCGACCATTTTCTTTCGGGCTGTTTCATTCTGCAACGATGGGAAGTGTTATCATATAACACTATTACGTTTGATCTAGAGTCGAACTTTTGAGGGCTCACGCAGAAATTGGCTGTTCTGCTGCATTATACACGTGCCTATGTACCGACTTATGAAGCAAAATATCACATAGATTTATTCCGAGGACAACTTATATTGAGTTCCACTCAAAACACAAAATCCCATTCAATCCGAACTGAGTTGGTCCCAAAAAAGGCCTACAGGATCCAATGACTAAGATAAACCATTTGCATATAACATCCGAATTACTCAAGCAATCCCTTGCAAAGGCTGGCGATCTACCACAGATCCGCACCACCGCGTCAAAAAGTTCCTATCTATAAAAACTACTTCCTCAGTCCCAATGGCCGAAAAACACATTCCAGCTGGCAATGCAACATTATCTCGAGTTGCTGACCACACCTCGTGGCGGCTCCTCCCTGAAGGTTTCAGATTATAAAAAGCCCCAGTAATTCGAGTGAAATCCTATTCAAGAGTGGACAAAGAAGACTTACTCGGTTGAGACACACAGACGGTTCGTTGCCGAATGGCAACTACTCTCTCTTTTACCTGGAAACAACTCTGGTAATTTTCTTAACCTAGAAGGGTCACCTTATTTTCTAAGAGCCTAAGATTAACGATGTTCATCTTGACCACCCAGGTCGAAACTCCTGATCCAGGCAACAGGGATCGGCAGCATAAGCATCACTGTCTACTAGGACAGACTGGACTCGCCTGCCTATGACTTGCGCAGGTCACCAACAGTATAAGAAAGAAAGGACTTCGGTAGTTATAGACCCTCCAGCTGCAACCTTTACGCTGTGTTGGTAGCGAACCTAATGATTACCAACCCATTTCCTAGTTACCAGGGACTGCGCAATTACGTGATTGCATCTCAAGCAAGCTCAGGATATGCATAGCCAAGAAGAACATGAAAATCCTACCTACCGTCTGTCAAGATATTGAAGAAAGAAACCAACTATTACAGAGTTAAATTAATCTAAGACACAGGTTTCGCACGCTTGTTGCCATCAATTTTGGCTGAATATCAGTTTGACTTAAAAGAGAAATTATAGTACAAGATAACTTTCAAATAAAGCTTGGAAGAGACGGCTGGGGCTGAATGTTTTCAGCTTCGGGAGAAAACAAAACGAAGCAGAAAAAGATGATAAAAAAGGAACAGCCCTTTTAATTGTAGACCATGTATTTCGGCGTAGCACTAAACTTTTGGTAACCTTTGATGACTTTATTCACAGCATCAAGGAAGTCTTTCTCCGTCACAGTCTTCCGGCGGGCTCGGATTGCATACATTCCTGCTTCCGTGCAGACACTCCTTATGTCAGCTCCTGCGATTACAGTTTGATGTCAGAAATGATAACAAAACAAGGCAGCATCAGTCCCGGAGCATATGTTGAACATTAGAACTCCATCAACTAGTGCATTAGTCAAAGATGGCAAAATTAAGGCAGGCTTAAGTAATAATTTGGACAGGATAAACAAAATTGAAAACAAAAAATTGATTATGATCAGCAATTTGCTCAGATGAAACAACAGCTACTTGATCCTCACCAGTAGAGTTCGGACAAAGGCGAGCAAGAAGTTCAAACCGAATGTCTCTCTCACAATTCATAGTTCGCGTGTGAATCTTGAATATCTGTGTCCTGCTCTCTAAATCAGGAAGACCAAATTCGACCTTACGATCCAATCTTCCAGGACGCAACAGTGCAGGATCTAGAGTGTCTGGCCTGAAATATAAAACCCCAGTGAGCAGAACATGTAAGGTCATTAACGTATCAAAGCTAAACCCAATTCTCCTGTTATCTTTCACAAACCCTTGTAAAGGTACTCAAAAATTTCTATTCAACAATCTCAAGTTCTTTCCAAGGTAGATTTGAATACAGCATTCCAGGAACAATCAGAAACAAAAACAAATGCTTGCTCAAACAACATTAAGTGAATCAAACAAGGAAAGAGAAAAGAAAAGCATCATCCTAAGTATACAAAGCCAAATGGGTAGATACATTTTAAGAATTTTCTTTTTGGTCAGAATGAAATGTTTCCCTCTTGTTAATTATCATTTGAAAAAATAGGCTAATAATATGAAGTTTTCAGGCGGCTAATTTGCAAGACAAAGGCGGTCATTTACAGCAAGAAATAACACATTACCTATTTGTTGCCATAAGTACTTTGATGTTACCACGAGCATCAAAACCGTCAAGCTGGTTTACAATTTCAAGCATTGTTCGTTGAACTTCATTGTCTCCACCCACACCATCATCAAAACGGGCACCCCCAATAGCATCAATTTCATCAAAAAACACAATGCAAGCCTTCTTGGATCGTGCCATCTGTAGGAGATCATGACAATAACATAAGAAATGTCAACATTCAAACAGTCAAATAAGTGGAGATGATTCAATCACGAAATTCCGAATCATTCACCTGAAATAGTTCTCGAACCATACGAGCTCCTTCACCGACATATTTTTGAACAAGCTCACTCCCAATGACACGAATAAAACAAGCATCAGTTCTGTTAGCGACAGCTCTTGCTAGAAGTGTTTTACCAGTTCCTGGTGGCCCATAACAGAGAACACCCTTGGGAGGATCGATTCCAAGCTTCACAAATTTCTCTGGATGAAGCATGGGCAACTCAACAACCTAGACACATTAGGAACTCAGAGCATGAAACTCACGATCTAAATCTCTTCAATGCATTGAAAAAATGTAGGCATGACATCATGTTCACAGCCCAGATAGAATAGAAAAGAGATTAAAAGCAAAATGAATACAAGCCACAAACTATCTGGAAATGCGCAACTTACTTCACGCATTTTCTCTATTTGTTCCTTACATCCACCAACATCATTATACGTCACATCTGGCTTCTCTTCCACCGTCATCATTGTCACACTTGGGTCAATTTTCGGAGGCAAGGGAATCTGAATCTGATATTTATTCCGATCGACACTGAAATCACAAGATTGGAGTCAAATACGGAGAAGAGTTTCTTAATCCACAATATGAAACGACAAGCAAGTCCTAAGTGCAATGCAACTAAAGGACTCATGGCACGTCCAGTGGGTTTCAAACTTTAGAAGATAACCAAACAATTACGATCAAGTACATGGATTGAAGAAAATCAAAATCATGCAGATTCACAGAGCCTGACACATCCAGGGAAAAAATGTACCAACGCACAACAGAACAGAACAAGCATCCTACAAAATGATACCTAAATAATTCACAATTCACCTACCCCACACGCATGCCCTCTTCAATGTCAGTGGGTGAAACCTTGTCACCAAGCCCAACAACAAACTGCAAATCACAGTAACATCATATCAGACCAAAGTCTAGACAGTATCTGAAGGAGAGAAAAAGATTAGGAATGCAAATATAATACAAGCACAAAAAATACAAGCTCCTCTTAGTGTTTGATGTGATGTTCATCAACTGCATTTTCATATTTCAATAACATAAATAGACAAAAGCGTATGCTCAAATGACAAAGATCAATTTTTCATAAACTTGCTCATGAGAAAAGGTCAGCATACCTTTGCAATTTGCTTGACATTTATGACATATTTGGCATCTTCAGTATTTGGACTGATTATCTTGGTACATCTAGCCACCTAAGTCACAAAAAAGAGCCCATGCTTTCAATCATAGAAATGCATTTACGTTCAAGAATAGGTTTCAAAAACAGGGACAGAAATCCAACCTGAAGAGGCTGCTCCTCTTGCATCATCTGTTTGTCTGAAACAAGATCCCATTGGCTGGGTGCAGCCAAGCCAGTATCAGACTCCTTGATACCTAGGGCACAAGCAAACGGTATACAATATCAGAGAGCATCCAAAATAGGAAGCCTGATTCTATCTAGTAACATCTTAAGCTACTCTAGCATTTCTACAATCCATTCTACTTTGGCTATATAAATCATACTCCATTCTGATCAACATCAAGATAAAAGAAGACTCCAACGTAACTCTGGAGTTCCATGTTTGCGCACAGGCATACGGGTAGCAATTGTCACCGCAAAACAGAAATGAGTTCGCATATCAGTGTACACATACCCACCCAAGCTTTCCAGCTCATGTGAATGTACAAATATAAAGACACACAGGATTGCTGCTGCTCTTAATCAATGACACATATTGAATTCACATCGATTTGTCCTAGGAAAAGAAGGATACGGAATTCTCGAACTCGATGCTGAATCTCTACCAACTTTTCACGTCGCCAATAAATCACGCAATACATCCACTGAAGCAACTATAAACCGGGATGTTCGGGGGGAAAACATACCACACAAGTCATTGACCTTCTTAGCCATCTCCTTGATCTCCTTCTCGGCTTTCTTTATACTAGTAGAATAAGGTCCCAACCCCTGCACGATCCAACGAATCGAAAGGACGTCAGCTCGAAAACTCAGAACACAGAGACCAAATTGGAAACAATATCAGCAGCAAGGAAGCCCACTAAAGAGGAACACGAAACACAACGGTCCTCTAAACCACCGTCTCAAACACTCGATGCTGCAAGCTAGACAAAACGGCTCCTTCGGTCCGAAGGAGACGAAACAACTAGACAAAACCAACGGGGCATTCATCGTCCTCCTCACAGCGGCAATGAAACAAACGGTTATCGGCAACAAGCAACGAATCTAAGCGATCGCCGGATTCAGCTCCCCCCGAGTTCTTCGGCCACGGGCGCATCGACAACGAGGTCGGGGAGCGAAATAGATATTAGGGTTTTGATTGCGGGGGGAAGGAACGCACGTAGGTCTTGAGGAGGGCGATGTCGTCCTCGTCGAGGGGGCGGGGGTTCTTCTCGTCCTTGATCTCGTCTTCCGGTTCCGGCGCCATCTCCTTCGGGGGCTCGACGGAGGTCGCGGTCTCTCTCTCTCTCTCTCTCTCTCTTCCCCTGCTCTGCTCTGTGGGTCTCCGATGACGGTGCTTGCTTTTGCTTCCGCGACTGTGCTTTTTCTGGCCCCTCGGTGAAGAAAGAGGAGACGGGGAGCTGGGAAAGGGACGGTCACGTGATAGGCACGTGGGGGTTTGTTGGGTTCGTGTTCGGGCCCGGGTTCGTTTTCCCGGGCCGCTCCGGCCCAAAATCTAGTAGAGGATTTCTGGAGATCTTTGGCCCGGTTTTTGGAAAGAGGTTCACAGAAACATGTGTTTTTTTTTTTGGGGTCGGAAGTTCATAAAAACATTGAGTATTGACGCACCGAATAGAGTAATTTTTTTTTTTTATTTCCTTTCAAACACGTTAGGCTCCGTTTGTTTCACTAAAAAATAATTCCTCATTTTCCGATGTTTAAATCGCTTGGGAAAATGAGTCAACGGAAAATATTTTCTTAGTCAATGAAAAAGGTTTTCGTACCAAAATTTAAATTTAGGAAAACGATTTAATCTTTAAAAAATCGGAAATCATTTTCCAAAATATGACTAGGCATCGGCACTCTGACCAGAAACTCTGTTTCTGGCCATAGGAACCGTAACGCTTATTCCCGAGTCCTTGGCAGCTTAGACAAAAAACTCTTATTTCCGCCACTATAAATGACATAAAATCCAACTTGATACATCTGGCAAAGCATATTCGTTAGTTTAAATAGACTCCAACCCAGAGTCGTAAAATGAAGTTTTGAACTCCCATATTCACCGTATCTGTAAAAATTGCACCATAAGTCATAGACTTTATGTCTGGAAAACAATTGAGTCCGAAACTGTTGAATTGGTTCGATCAAGATGTAAACCTTTACCAAAAAGTGCAATGGGATTCATAAATATTTCAATTGGTTCAAGTAAGATCTTTATCAAAAAAATGCAATTAAGTGCTCATATTATGTTGAAAAGTACAATTTAAGGATGCCATATAAGCACTTTCTAAGTAAGGACGAGTTGTTTTAGGTACTCTTCGTCAGAAGGACTTAATTGCACTTTTTTCAAAAAGGTTTAGGACTTCACGGAGTCACTTAAAAGGTTTAGGATTTAATTCCATTCCGTACACAATTTTTAGGACTTCCTATACAAATTCCCCTCGTACACGTCTTTGATGTATCAACATGCGTTCCAATCTCCAGAAAATGGAATGACCAAGCACCCATGAAGATGATAATCAAAATTTGACAAGACTCGCATGGGTTCTTATACCTTCCAACTTCCAGGGCAAACTAATACAAAGTCAACGTGATTTGAGAAGCCTGTTGATTTAGTCCATCATCATCCTTGTTCAGAAAAATAATAGCCAAAGTGAAAAGGACATCACCGAGTAGGTTAAGATCTTTCAAATCAACGACCACGACCCCTTTAGAACCTTATTACCTCATTAAAGTCTTTTCATTTATGATATTATTAAGCTCGAATCTACAATGGATGATTTTATTATTTTGTTCCAGATAAAACGGATTCTTCCGTGCCAATAGATTTATGAAAGAGTTAGTAAATGTAAAAAGCATCAAAAAAGTTACGACTCACTTGATTTCCAAGTAACTCAATGGTAAATTGTCGACACCATTGTCAAATTGCTTGTACTCCTATGAACTCTTAGAATACACCAAAATATCATCGATGAACACCATAATAAATTTGCCTAATACTTCCTGATCACCATGTTCATCAAGTCCATGAAAGTAGCAAGTGCATTCGTTAATCCAAAGAGCACGAGGCAAAATTCATAATGACCATATGTCATTCTTGAAAAATACCTAAACTTCCTGGAGTTGATCAAATAAATCATCAATCCGAGGCAAAAGATATTTATATTTTATCGTCACTTTGTTTAGTTCTCGGTAGTCTATACAAAGCCTCATATTACCGCCCTTTTTTTCCACAAATAACACAGGAGCTCCCCAAGGCGAAACATTGGGACTAATAAAACTCTTATCCAAAAGCTCTTGGAGTTGTGTTTTCAACTCTTCCACTTTAGCAAGTGCCATCCGATACGATGCCTTAGATTGGTGTTGCACCGGGTGTCGATTCAATACAGAACTCAATCTCTCTATCAAAAGCCAAACCAGGTAAATCATCAGGAAATTCCAGCTTATAACATCTCTTCTTGTGTCTTTTACACAAGCCAAATAACCACAACAACCATTCCTCAAAAGTATCCTCGGCTGCAAAGCTAAAATTAATCTTGAAAAAATGCTTTTACAACTACCCGAAAAAGAAAATTCGAGCTAACTCAGACGTTTAAAGATCACATTCTTTGAAAAGCAATCAACGGTAGCATGCTATGTTAATAACCAATCCATCCCTATAATAATGTCAAATCTCGAATATTTGACTCCACCAGATTTACAATCATTTCAACATTATTAATCTGGAGGATACATCTCTTGAACAGACGACCAGCAACCAAGAAATAACCAGTAGGAATATCAACACGCAATTCTTATTCAAGAGGCTCAGGCAACACATCAAACTTCTTTGCGAAATCAGTAGAAATAAAGGAATGAGTAGCACCAGGATCAAACAACGCATATGTATATTGTGAGACAACATAAATATTACCTGCAATAATGCCCCGTAATTAATGTGTTGAGTGCCGCAGCATCCTCCACCTTCATAACAAAAACTTCCCAGTTATCAAATTAAGGGGCATTCTTCCGCATGAAGCAGTTACGTGCCAAGTGTCCTGGTTGTCCACATACAAAACATACTCTACTATCTACAGGAACATCCCTCTTTGTGGGACATTCGCATGCTATGTGTCCCATTTTTCCACAAAGGAAACATGCTCCTGTTTTGCGGTAACAAGGACCGACATGATGTCTCCCACAAGTAGTACAAGGGCCTTGATAACTCTTGTTTATGGGCATCCCTAGCCGATTGAAATCTCTTCGCTTTCCGCTACCACTAGTATAGCTATCTTGGTAATCTGTGAGTTTAAACCTCTTGTTTTGAGGTGTATCTTGTGTGCCGCTCTCCAAAATGTCTTGCTCTACCCTAATCGCTCGATCCAAAACATCTTTATGCGTTGTCAATACCAAAGGTGTGAGTATAGTACGGATATTGGATTGAAGCCCTCGCTGAAAGTGTTCAGCTCTAAGCTCTTCGTTGGCCACGACGCTTTCCATAAATTTGCTTAATTGATTAAAACGGGCTGCATATTCCATAACCGTTGAGTTACCTTGAGATATATTAACAAAGTCGCTCCTCATTTTCGCTTGAAATGACTTTGGAAAGTATTGAGCGTTGAAAGCCTCGGTGAAGTCTTTCCAAGAAATAGTCGCATCTTTGCCTCCAAGGGCCGGTCTAATCCCTTCCCACCAATAGGCAGCTTCGCCTTCCAAATATAGAGTGGCAAAGTTAACTTTTTGATCATCATGAACATTTTCCACTCTAAAAATCCGCTCCATCTTTCTGATCCAACCATTGGCCTGGAGAGGATCCAATTTCCCATCATATTCAGGCGGATCTGCCTTTCTAAATTATGCGAAGGTGCATGACTCAGCTGCTTCACCTTTACCTAATCTTTTCGCATGACGATACCAATGAATCATTACTTGAGCGAAATCAGCCGGGAAAAGAGTTTCTCGAGACTCTTCCTTGGCTTCCCGTAAGTCAGGACTCTTATCATATCTCCTTTTTGAAGCCGTGCCTCGAGAACCTTGAGGCATACCCCTGATGGTGTCGGGGGTAATGAATCGCTTGCCCTTACTATTCTTAAGAAGCGAGGCAAGTGTCTCCGAGTCGGAACGCACGATAACCTGAATCCAAAGCGAAACATAATCTTAGCACCTAAAACATAAACCTGCTAAAACTATCGCATAATCTCACAACGTCCATAAAATCTACACCAAAATAGATTTTAGTTAATGGATTTTAGACGTGGGTTGCCCTTCGAGAAAGGACGGCCGAGTTGTTTATGCTATACTTACTGAATTGTGATGTAACCCTCATACGGATATCAGCAGAATTCAGCACAAAAGCAAAATCGTAACCGCACAAGCAGATAATCCATGCAATCACGGGACTCAGTTCGCTGCTTCTTCAGCCACAGGTGCACGAACAAGGTCAAGGAACGATTAGATATCAGGGTTTTCCGCGACAGGGATTGGGTGGAAGAAGGTAAAGGGAACGTACGTGGGTCCTGCCGAGGGGGCGAGGGTTCATCTCGTCCTTGATCTCGTCTTCTGGTTCCGTCGCCATTTTTTTTGTTGCTCGACAGAGCGACGATCCCTCTCTCCCTCCCCTTCTCTGTGCTCTCCGATGCTCCCTTATTAGATTTCGCTTCCGGACTGTGCATTTCTTGCCACTTGGGAAGGGAGAAGCTCCGTCGGACCTTTTTATTACGGAAAGGGACGGTCACGTGAAATGCACGTGCGCGTTGTCCTAATTTGTATTCGATCTTGTCTAATAGGAAAAAAAAAATTTCCGAAAGGGTCGAATGAAACATAATTCTTATAAGAAAAAATGACACAAACTGTCCAGAAATTTTGGTTCAATGTACAATGTCGTCCGAACTTTTAATTTGTTTATCATAATCCTTAAACTTTGGTCTAATGTGAAGTTTTATCCCTGACATTTGTTCCTAAATTTTTAAACGTTTTCATATAATTTAGGGACTACATCGAACGGTTACCAATAGTCCAAAAATCACATTGAACAAATTAAAAGTTTATGGAACAATATAGCACGTTGAATCAAAGTTTAGGAATCATATTTTTGCTATTATCTAGTGCATAAGCTTCCAACAGTTCTGAACCGCGTAACCATGCTAAGGTACACAATATCAGGCTTATCAGCCACTGCCAGAATAACTAATGTCGGGCATGCTACAGATCATTCATTCCCCTAAGCCTCAAGAAGGTTAAAAAATAAAGAATAGGAAACTTGCTAACAAAAATGTAAGAAGCTTGTGACAAAACATTAGATGGATATCAAATCTCGGTCGATACGACTGACCGAGGTGACGGTCTCGACCGACACTCATGCCGCCAAGGGAGGCTGGTCGAGCAGTTAGTCACGTGAATTGCATCCTTAGCTCTTTTTTCACTCATCATCTGCTATGAAATTCGGCTCTTCGCCTTGGCACAGGTACTCGTCACAACGAGACACCAACCCCCAGTCCTTCCTCAGACGCAGTATGTCCTCCGTGAAAGTAGATCCCGAGGCTCCAATGAATACCCTAGACATTGCGCATATCGTCTTGTCCAGCATAGCTTCCACCTTCAGGACAGAACACGAAATTAAGATACAAGTCTTGTAGACAATTCAAAACGGTGATGGAGAAAAAGTTCGGTAAAGAGGAGAGAGAACGATTAGAAGAAATCAATTAAGAACAAAACTAATCTGGGACCCTTTCCAGAATATATACACTGGCAAAGTCAGTCAGATTATTTGCAATAAGGTTATTGCTTCAGAGGCAACAAAAGAACCAAAGAGTCTATAAAGCATATGTCCGAGGTGACAATTTTTAGGTGCTTTTGAAGTAGAAGTCCCTATTCAGCCAAGCCAATTTGCCGCATGCCAAGTGTTTTGAATTTGCTTATTTTCTTTAATGAAGATGACACGTGATGATTGACTTGGGTGATCTAGATCAGTGTGCTCCTGGAGCACCTCTAAGTCTCTCATGTTTGAGTCCATGGAAAAAGAGTTGCGACATTGCGAATTACCTGGGAATCGTCCTGCAAGCCGTGTCTATACAGCAAAGCATCCCATTTCTCAGCTGGATTGCGATCAGGCCTCTTCACTAGAGGTACAGGCTTCCCGTTTGAAAAAATAAGAGTCTGCAGGAGGCCTGTTTCACTCTCTGCTGCATCTGTCGATAGATAAATTACAGGTGCATCAGCTCTTTCCACCACCCGCTTGATGCATTCGGCAGCTTGAGGGACAGGGTAAAAGCAACTGGGTTTCTTGGCATTGCTAGTAAAAGAAAAGTGTCCATCAGGCAGAGCAAATAAATTATGTCCGTGCCTATGGTGCAGAATAATCATACACACCAAGTTCTAAAAGAGCATTCCTTAAATGTCACTGTTGAACAAGTATGAACCTAATTAAACTGTAAGATTGGCTAACCATCAAAATTCAAACTATAAAACAAAAGGAGAAAACTTCAGAATATGTTTATCAGCAAAAGAAAGTTTCAAAAGCCCAGCCATATATAGATTGCATATACAAGTTGTGGACCTACAAACCAAAGTCTGGTCAACTTTGAGGAGTTTCTGTTATGACACTCATATTCAAATAACTCATCAATTGATGTCTTCAGATGACCACAAACAACTAGCAGAAAATATCAGCAACAATTGATGCATCAATGTGAAGCAAGGAAAATAAAGATGGGAATGCTGGGAACTCATTCCGCTGCCACCCTTAAACTGCCATCAAACCAAGCATTTATAGTAAGACTTTAGGTCATATGATCATGAATCCAAACATACAATCATGTATTCCCATTGCTTGATTCCAACTCAATAAGTTTCTCAGAACCCGTAAGTGTGGTTTTTCACTTTTCTGGCCGAAGGCTAGAAGTGCCGTTTACAGTCAAATTAGATTATGCAAATATTGCAAATGTCAAAGCTAGCAATTAAAGTTCATAATGCAATGTTGCAAAGAATTTTCCACTAAATTTCAAATACAGAAGCTCGTTATCTTTCAGCATTAAACCCAACAAAGACATCACTGTTTGTCCTGAGAAAGAATGCATTGCTGTGTAGGATTTCTAAATATACCAAGTTTATACCCATTTTAGGTCTCTAACAGATATGAGCTCTTCTACTGTCACCATAAGAATTCAGCAAAACTAGCATGAACCACAAGACAAAGGCCACACATGGTACAAGAATCACCCAAAGAATAATCAGCTGGAAACAGACAAATGTCTTAGCATGCCTATCATTCGACATGGATACAAAATGAGAACAGAAGCGACATACCAGAATTTCAAAAAGCCATGCCGCCGGAAATGAAGAGCAATGTAGTTCTTCCCCAGGAATGTCTGAATAAATCTCTGTGCAGTGCGCACTATAAGACGACTAGGTTCAATCAAAGTTTTGCATTTGTGAGCAAGCGGACCGCCAGGCTGCGCCAACCACTCTTGCTCCAAATTGGCAGAGAAAACATCTCCAATTGCAATAACATCATCATCTACTGTGAACTTGGCTTCAACATCCTGAATAGTCCTCTTATTCGGCTTCTGAGTATCCTCAACCCAGGGAGACTCAAGCTTACCCATTGAAATCCCCAAGCCCTTCAACTTCTTGACATGTTCATCATCAACATAACAATGCTGCGGTGAGGAGAAATAACATATGAATCTATCAATATGCAAGTGCGTTTTCTTGACCTTGGAAAACTCCTCAAATGACATTACAACTTTCCTTCCCAAGCAATCATTAATGCGGTTGACATCCAACACCTTATTGTATTCATAATCAACTTCTGAGCTGGGAACAACCAAAATCCTGCCAAGAACAGCAGCAAAGAACATGTGCTTCTCTAAACAAATCAAATGGTTCGACATTTGACCAGAAACGCAAATGGCAAGCAAAAACTTATCCGGTTTCGGCTTCCACTCAATGGTTTTTCTCCCCAAGGAACTTTGATCCACCGTCCGACACCGATCACCAAAATCACCGAAACTCACATCGACCATATCACCATCACCATTCTCCACGGACACATTCCCTGACTGATGTGGCAACAGCAATACCTCTTCAATATCCTTATTCAGCTCAATCTGCCTAAGTACGGAGGTCTTAAAATCCTCGAATAAAGACGAGGAAGACACCAACAGATGATCATTATCTTGTTTCAACACACTCGAATTCAAGCTACTGAAAGTAAAATTCGCAGTCCCATTGCGAGCACTTGCAGAATCCAGAAACGTATGATTCCACAAACCAAAAAGCCCCAACCTTTGCTGCTTCAACAAGCTCAGAGCTCGTAACTCGGACTCCCTCATGCGATCCGCGGTCGAATCGACCTCGAACGCCGAGGCATCGCCGGAGAACAAGCCGCGGACGTCCGCGGAGAAGAACGCGCCGAGGAACAGAACGGAGATCAGAATCGCGAGGAGGTAGCTCCTGCTGAGCCTGAAGCTGAAGCGGCGAGCGGCGCCGATGCGGGAGTCCAAGTCCTCGATGTCGAGCGCGGATCGCTGCCGGCCGGTGGAGGAGACGGGCCTGGTGTCGTTCTGGTGGACGAGGTGGCGGTGGCCGTCGTCGTCTTCGTCGGACGAGTCTCTCTCCATTGCCGCTTCAACGCATGCTCAAACGCTGCCTCCAATGTCGCCGCGCGTCGATCTCGTCGAGGCGAATGCGATTCCCGGAGACCGCGGAGATGGGTCTGCGAGCGTGTGGACGGAGAGAGATCCGCGAGCCGGGGGAGCGGTCGACGGCGATTATAGCGAGAGATCTGACAGCATAGTGAGAGAGCGCGAGCGAGGGAGGGAGTGGTAGTTAAGTTGGTTCGAGCAAGCGTGACGATGAAGGAGTAGAACACGTTCGGTGGGTACGATGAGCATTACGTCCAACCGGTCGGACCAGCTGAAGATGATGATGTCTGTCCGTTTGTGCTTGTCTTTCACTCTTTTCTGGGCCCGAACCAGAGCCGTGGTGGTTGGGCTGAGAACGTTTCCCTGCCGGATCGCCCACGTCGCGCATCTTGGCGAGAGGTCGCAGGTTCGATCCCTCCCGTGGCTAGCGAATTTCTGACCAGCTCGGGATTTCGACAGTCGTTAAATTGGTTACATTGTCGCAAATCATGATTGGCTTCATTCCTGCTTCTTAATTGAAGATGGAAAGAGAGAGCCTCGAGGGGGAGAAGATTGCAGACCGTTATATTCTATGTACTGTTTTCAAACAATTCAATCCCTGGACTGAGAATTGGAGCATGTACTCAGAAGGGGAGATGATGACTATTATACATATGCCGCAAATGCGTCAAAAATCGTGGTAACAAAGCCTCATCAAAGATCGGCAAAGTTCCTGATCCTGAAAGGAGGGAAAAGAAGAGCGCTTCGGAATGTTGGTGAACAAGGAATGGACCTCCCATATTGTAGCGGCTGCAGTTACTTTCTTCATGAGGCACCTACTGCTACCGACGCAGCCGGAGTTGGGACTTGGAACTTGGAACTTGGAACTACTGTCGATGCATCGTAAAACCTACAGTCAGAATCCCCACGGTTGGATGGATGCCTTGTAAGGTGAAACTACGTCAACTCCGTCACTTCAACAAGCCTTCCTCGAACCCATTTCTTCGTAACCTTCTGCGCTCTCAGTGCTATTGGCTTTTCCGCCTTAGCCTGACCTTGGCATTTCACCTTCCCAATTGCTCCCATTTGATCACGTTGCTGAGCTGGATGCGAATTCTTCATCGGAGGCTTCCACTTGGGTTGACCAAAACTGGAACCTTCTGGACTAAGTATCTCTCCATCGCCTAGTGCACTCTGCCACGTGAAGTTGCTAAAATCAAAGTTTTCATTGCTGCCAGATACAAGTTCATGGCTTCCATTAACCCATCCGTGATTTGGTATGTTTGTAGAACTTGCAATTGTTCCCTTCCCAATTTTGCCAACCATTTCAGTCACAGCATCTGAGACAAGTGTTTCATTCTCACCGGAAAGCCTTTGCCCAGTTTCTATGGATTTGATCAGTTTAGCTGCTTCAGCTGTCATCCGTCTTGCTTCCAAGAGAGAATCTCGAGCTATGGCATTGGTCCTTGCAGCCACCTCGAGAGCTTTTGCAGCCTTCTGAGCTTGAGCAATCAATACTCTGCCAAACACCAAAATATAAATGGTTTTGAAAGAGCAACCAGCATTTAGAAACCAATTAGGTCTCATACTCCAGATACTGTCGGATCAGAATATAATCGAATGGAAATGAATGAGGAAAAACCGACCTTGCTTGTTCAACAGCTTCAATTGCCTTGGTATCCATGGCTTCTCTTTCAGCTCTAATATTTTTAATCATTCCCAACTTTGAACTTACCAGAGGGTCCTTATACAGGGGCATCTTGCTTCTCCTCAATCTCGATTGCTGGAGATCAACTCTAGTGTCACTCCTAAAAGCAATTTCGGTATCGTCTGGTCTCTTCTCTGCTGGGTCCATCTTTCTAGACTCCAGAGTGTCAATTTTCCTTCTTCTCGACTTTCTCTGAGCTCTAACAGGTGTACCATAATGTTTTACCATCCCAGAATAAACCTTATTACGGTATTCCTAGAAGAAAAACCATTTTCAAGAGGAATGAAAGTTCAATATCCTAAGCCTGAGTGATGTAATGCATATAAATAACATTAAAGTGAGTCGGCAAGTATTAAACGATATTCCTAGAGTCAGAAGATGCGGTGTGGCATAACGAGAATTGAGATGAACCAAGCACTTCAAGAAAAATATTAATAAGCACTCACAGGATCTTCCCACTTTGCAGCAATTGCTTTGGCGATTTTCCTCCTTTGCTCCAGGGATTTTGGTACTCTCTTGCTACCTTTGGGCCTAGGCATTGATTTGCGTTCCTGAACACTTGCCAACCACTCCTGCTCAAGCTGTCTGTCCAAAATATTATACGTATCCCATTGCAGCTCCTCTAGACCTATGAGGTGACCATTTCGAGAAGCTTCTGCAATAAGGTTCTGCCATTGATAGAAGCATGTTTTCTGCATCATCAACCCTCGACGGCGTCTTTGCCACCCCATTCTCACCCTGGCCCCAATTTTCATTCTTGTCTCTTCACTGTACAATCCATAGATAGGGCAACCAATTTTAGCAGTCTTGGAAACAAACTAGATAAGCATTCGAGCAAATTAAACTTTCAGCCCGTGGTTTGGGATGAGACATGAATCATAACTCACTAGAACACAATCTAACCAAAGACCCAAATAGCACAAGAAGAGCAACTGGTAGCGTGAAAGAAGGTGAAAATGAAAAATCCACAACTAGGTGACCTCAATCCTAACCTCTGTGCATGTCCCGTATTCTTTAACTTCATTTTCACCTGGAAAAGGACAAATGTTTCATTAGATGTGAATGGTTTTTGTGGACCAATTGTGCAATTTGCACTCTTATATTCTTGAATCTATGACGACTTGACCAATTACTCAGCCTAAAAAATCGTAGAATACAATCATGCATTCGATCTCTGATGGCGTAGAACCACCGAGGGCAGGAACTACCACTAAGAGATTTAACTCAGCATATCATTGCACTTTCACTTCAGAAAAAATGTGAAATTATTCTTACACGACGTCACCTTAGGATTTTGCATTGCAAGCTTTGTCCTCTCTCGGATCCGCTGGATAGTTTCTGCATGTGTTTCAAAGCATCGTAAGAGGATCAGCATCAATTTAAAAACAAAATTAAGTTGTCAGGCATACTCAACAAGCTAGAACTTACCAGCACTGTGTTTTTTGCCTTTATTCCATGGTGCTTTCCCTTTGTTGGACCTAGAAATCCTTGTGCGCCGTAAGTTTTCTCTCTCAAACTCTTCCATTGAATCTTCAGCTGCTGCCTCGATCTGAATAATGGCTGGACTAGAACTCTCCAGCTTTCCATTTAGTTCACCTTGCCGATCACCATCGATTAGAGCCAACCGCTCCGGCCATTCCGTAGCAACTGCCTTGACCACAAGTTTTGACCTCCTTGTACGAACTGCAATTACATCAAATCCTATCCTTTTTGGCAAGCCCAAGTACTTCCATGGTGGATAGCATCTCCTTTCGCATCCAGAGGAGAATGAACGAGAGAACAACCCGCTTTCAAGCCGGGTCAGAGCCCTCAGAGCATCTACATGATTCAATAATAGGGTTAGCTAACAGGACAGCAAGGGATAAAGCTCTGAAAGTGGAGGTTTGCGAAAGAAAATGGCAAAGCTCAGCACTTTGATATAGGATACAGGCTGGCCAGTGTCGTCGAAAGTCCTTCGGTTTAGCAAGAATTTGGCATGTGAAGTCATCCACTCAAATTGCAAGTACCTCAAGCCTCTCCACCACCTATCTTATCCTCCTCCCTCTTCTCTCCTTTCCATCTCTCACAAGCATTTCGACAAACACGTAGACCCGAAGCTTGTCTCAGTAGACTGGTCCATAGTTCGCATCCTTTTGTTCAGTTGAACATCACATTCAAAGCGCAACAAACAGAACGATAGAAAATGACGGAGCAAGAACAAGAACCACAATTCGGCCAAGAAAGGGACAAGAACCCAAGCGAATGACGTGACTGTACAAGAACGAATGATTTCTAAGCAGAACTCAGAAAAGAGAAACGACCCATGAAGAGGGAGACGGCGCGGTACCTAGCGAATGCATTGATCGGCGCTCGTTCAGCCTGGCATAACGAAATCGAGTAGCTCCGGACCATCGAAGCAACAGCAAAACACGCGAAAGCTCTTCAGACGCCGACTCGGAGAACTTCTTCCGGCTTGAGTTCGAGCGTGTAACTGTCGCTGTCGCCAGCCCTCCGACACCAACAACAACGCCGGAACAGCGAAATGAAGAGCTGTCGAAGATGGATTCGGAGAAGGCGAGAGAGAGATCTGTCGGGGACTCGGGCGCCGCGAAGTGCTGGTGAACTGCGCGCGCGGGCGGGCGAAACTGCAATTCTCTGGGCCATTCTCGAGCCCGGCCCAAAGGTGTGAGCCCACTTCGTATTGACTCGTGGGCTTAAACAGGCCCAACAAGAGAATCCCACGAACAACGGACACATGAGTAAGGGAAAAAGTCGCCGGAAACCTTATGCCCATGCTATTACTCGTGTGATACATTTACCCTCCATTACGGTTTCTTCATGAAGCACCATCAAAAGTCCTACGAGACGGCTGGGTGATGTGGATGACAGAGTGTAAATGGCGCTGATGTGGCGCACATATGGATTATACGAGAGAAACGGCGTCATCTATTGCTAGAATGTCAACCAAACGACAGCATGCTCCCCATCTCTCGTTGTTCCACTACCGATTTGGGGCCTAGGGTTCTTCTCTAGATTTTTTCAAAATCTCAATTGCTCCACAGGAAGGAGCTCGATTCGTTGATGAGCTTTCCCTTCTTGCTCGATTCGCAGCTGAACTCTCTCTGCATGCTAAAACATGGAAGATAAGAATCCGTTGGAGTTGCTCAATTTACTTGAGATAATTAAGGAATACAATTCAGTTTGGATTTGCTAATATAATTGAACATAGTCTAACTTGGATTTGCTAATACAGTTTAAACACAGTTTCACTTTTTTTTTGCATCATAACATTGGTCTTGCCTGGCAATCTACCTTCCATTGACCCTACCTAAGGAAACAAAAAAGACAAACAACACTATCATCCGGTCATCCCCAATACAACATCATGGCCAATCCAAGGAAACGGAAGTTGTGTTCTTTTTTCCAATTTGAACAGCAGCATTTCCCACATCAATCCTATCAATACAACTATGCCTCTCAAATTGGTCTTTTCCTTTGCTTCCAGTTGAGACGCTTCCACTTGTATCTTCTTGTTCTGTCGCTTGCTCATCTCTAGCCGCATTTGGACAATGTGGACTTCATCCTCGGATACTTTCACCTCTTTGCATGCTCCTGAATTCTATTTTCCAAGGCTTTCTTGTCATTGATCAACCCACAAATCACTTCCATGTCGAGCAATGAGGTCTTAGGATCAATCCATTTGAAAAAGAAAATGGAAATCACCAACCTATCCAATACAAGCAAACTATTCAAATTCTAGCAATGCACACTATACTAAAAAATTCCTTCAAAGTCACCAATTCAGAACGCAACGTGTAGCAAAACAGATTGATTTATTGGAAACACTAGAGGTGCAGACTCATAGCAACATGTTTTTTGGGAAAATTGTCCAAAAAGTCCTAAACCTATTGTACTTTGGCCAATTCAGTCCTAAATCTTTCGATTTTGCTAATTGAGTCTTAAATATTTTCACGTTTTACCAATTGAGTCCATCCAACTAATTTTAATAGGAAATCGCTGATGTAAACACCGATAGTGCCACGTAGGATAGTCGGCGATAACATGAACAAATTTTTATAATTTTTTTTAAACTTTTGTTTTTTATTTTATTTCTTTTCCTTTTTTTTTTCCTACCAAATCTGGCAAGCAAGGGCCAGCCAACCCTCATTGACGACAAGCGAGGGCTGGCAACCCTCATCAGCCATCGTTAGCCACTTGGCGAGGGCCTCACGACTCTCGCCAGCCATGGAACGAGGGTTCTAGCCCTCGCTTGATGGCCGATGACCCTCGCCAGGCTTGGAAGAAAAAAAAAAGAATTTTTTTTAAAAATTATACATGTCAGCGCCGATCGTGCCACGTAAGACGGATGGTGTCCATGTCAGCGATTTCCGATTAAAATTGACTGAATAGACTCAATTGGCAAAACGTGAAAATGTTAAGGACTCAATTGGCAAAATTGAAAGATTTGGGATTAAAATTGGCCAAAGTGCAGTAGGTTCGGGACTTTCCGGACAATTTTCCTCCTATTTTTCACTACTGTTAAGAAGCACGCAGACATTGCGAATTGACGAGGCCCTCAAAAACACAATCATTGCCATCCACAAGATTGTTATCAATTTAAATTCGAGTGCACATTCTTAGTTGCAATGACTTCCCGTGTTATCGTTTCACTTTCTAACAATGTCTCCATTGAAGCCATTTTCCAGCTACGAGCTTCCTGTGAGAATCAAGTCATTGTACTTCAGCAGGCACAGCATTAAAGAGCACACACTACTAGCCTACATTAACATTACAACAACGGCTTGCATGGATTCCCTGTCGAGTTCACGATTGCAATTTAGACTTACCAATTTTTGTCTTCCCATAATCGAGTCAATCTCATCCATGAAATAGTCGCATGCCTGATACTTACTGTCATTGGTTTTGGTAGCTTTCCAATGGTTCATCACCCATCAAATGCGTTCTTTTTAAATTCATCTAACTAAAAAACCATCATGGTTCCCTCCTCTAGATCCCCCACCCTTCCCCAATACTCACAGAATGTTGGTGAATGGTGAATGGACAACTCCCAGAAAACGATGACATTGAACAACCAAATCAAGCTTCCAAATCACTGGCGACAACCGTCTTGTTGGATAAAAAAAATAATAAATAAAAAAATCACGCCAATATTTTCCTTTAGCCAAGTTGGATATAGTTAACGAAAGAACTCGATTGCATCGATTTGACAAGTTTTTGGACTTGATTATACTTTTCGTAAATTTTAGAACTTAATTGCACTTTCATGTCAAGATTAAGGACATCTAGTGCGCTTATCCATTGTTTTATTCGACTTGCATATGGCAATTTTGTTAAGAAATGCGATGTATCTTATTTGTGCAGCTGTCAGGAAACATGGGTAATCAGGTCAGGATCTTCTGGAATTTGAGGGTAAGGCTATACGAGCGCGCCAACTGGCCACCATGCCCTCCCGGGCCATTAGAAGCAACTCCCGAACATTGGCCACTCGCCGATCATTCCCCCAAACTACTTTCGTGCTCCCTTCACGACGGCATCCACAAGTTGGAGAAGGCAGCCAGGGAGGCCCGTCCTCCATCGGAGGGCTCAAGAAAGGCTCGCGGACGGCCGGGATAGGTTCATACTCACTGTTTCCGTAGTGCATCGTCAAATGTTTCGGCCCAGTTTTCCTGTCAAAGCCGATCTTACTCGATGAACTTCGATGTAATTCCTCCTGTGAATGAAATGATTTTAGGCAAAAAAAAAAACAAAAAACAAAAAATAAATCGTCCTCGCTTTCGAGAGAGAGATGAAAAAAAACATGAAGAAAAAAAAAGGGTCGAACCGCACTTCCATATGCGCTCAATTAATCGTGCGCTCCCCCCAAATCATTCCCAAATCCATCATACTGTCTGCTCCGGCCATAATTGCTTTTTCTGTTTTTTTTTAACCTCGGTTTGATTATTAGAAATTCAACTTAAAGCCCATAATTTCGGACGATGTCAATGTCAATGCGTGGGAATCGGCAAATAATAAATAAATAAATAAACAAATAAACAAATAGATGAGTAAAGATTGCCTCCATTCGTAGGCTTGGAGATGTATTAGAACGTGGACCAGCCTACCTGCCTATAAGGTCTTGATCCGGTGATGCGAGGCTTGGGCTTATTATGGATTCTTAAGACGGGATTAGGCACTTAATTAGGGGATTAACAAAAGGAATTTCGGGTCGTTGTCGTGCGCATCTGAATAGATTGCGATGAAGAAGGTGCGTGGATTTGCCGAAAGGAGCGAAAGATCCTTCCCACCCTCGCCACCTCCCCCCTCGACCAAATGAAGATAATCTCGTCGGCACTCCCGAACCCGTTTCGTACACTGGTCAAAGATGGAAATTTTATACTTCGTTTTTTTTGGCGGGATTATGCAAAAGCGCGATTGATATATACATATAGGTATGGAAAAACTATCCAAAAGAAAAGTCTTAAACTTATTGATTCTAAATCTTTTAATTGTATTAATCGAGTCATTAGCATTTTCTCATTTCGCAATTTTGATCGGAAATCGCTGATGTAGACGCGGCCATCCTATATGGCATGCCCTCGTCGGCCATGGGCGAGGGCCTGACACGGTCACCTGGATCTTGGCGAGAGGGAGGTTGCCGACTAGAGTTGAAAAGAAAAAACAAAGAAAGGAAAAAGAAAAAAATATCAAAATATTACTAAAAATTTCCCACGTCAGCTATTTCCGGCTAAAAATTTGCCGGATAGACTCGATTGGAAAAATGTGAAAAAAGATTTATGACTCATTTGGCATATTTTCGACCAAAGAAAATTTGGCATATTTAAAAGGTTTAAAACCGAATTGGCAAAAAAAGCGCCATAAGTTTTGAACTTTTCGGATAATTTTCCCATATATGTATGTATGTATAATAAGCCATTCTTGGCAAAACATTAAAGGAGGTAATATCATGGGGTTAATACTCTCTAAAAAAAAAATTAATTCTTACGGGGACCAAAATGACGTAATAAATTTTGGGCAGCGATATTTTTTTTTTTTTGTCTGTTCTACTCTAACTCTCAACTCATTCTCAGACTTTTACCCTGTCTCTTGCAGGGCATGAAAGTCGAAACCCACATCTGAAACTACGCTACTCACCCCTAACCCCCCGATAAGGTTGGGGGAATCAAACTCTCTACTTCCTCCTTTTCAAGTAGGAAGAGCGGCTACCGGGCAAATTAAGTGGTTAAATTCTGGGCAGCGATTTACCGAGTAGATCTGGTGCGGCATTTAACTTATTTATGCCGACACCAAAGCCCATGTGATGGGGGAGAGATCTCTCGAGACGCAAGCCATGTGATTTTGTTGCGATCTTTGACCCCACAATTCTTGTCTCTGCTTTCGCATCTAGCACCGATTCTTTTATACCCCCGTTTCGTGTTTCGCCCTCGCAAAGCTCTCGAGTCACTATTTCACATGTACGTTTATTCCTGTAGAGTTTGAGAGGTGCTTGACGCCCTCCTTTGTGCAATGTGTGCCCACCACCATTGACCCGTTCCTCTCGTACCTCGTCGAAGCGAAGCTTCATCGCCGCGATCGATTGTAGCTCTCGATCCTCCCTATAGATAGCGGATTTTGTTTTTGGCAGCCGGCTCTCCTCGAAAAGCATGAACCGATGCTCGGATCGAATCGCGTGAACCCCTCGTGTTCGTTATCGTTTTCTATTGATTTTTTCTTGTTATTACGTCCTCATCCATTTAATTCGAATTGCACGGTCCATTAATTATTTATGGACATGATTATAGCAGCCCATGTGGGCATGAAAGTCAAGACCTATAATCACAAAAACAAGCAGAAAGGGACAACATGGAAGCCCTAGCACGTAATTCGGAAAATCAAAGGGACAACATGGGCGACCATCATGACACGCGATGCCTCGTCAGTAGAGATGGGCATATTTTTTACGCCCATGGCACGACACGACACGACACCACTGTATACACTGAAATCCATACTTACCACGATGGGAAAAAGAGTACGAAAAAGGGAAAGAGCAAAACGGCGGTTCATTTTCAGCACCGGTCGGCGAGACGGACCTCCGGTGTGGAATACCTTTATGCCGGGACGCTACTCGGAAGCTGAACTAGGTTGACCCCTGATCCGATCACGATCGGCACGGGGACTGGCCTCTCGGGTCAAAAAAAAATTAGGCACGAAAATTGACCGGTATTGCAGCTATCGTCCGGGTTGGACCATGAACATGAACATATATTCCCTTCCCACGGGTCAAAATTGCGGCTTTCGGGACAAATTCCTTTTTCGAATTAAGCCGTCCTTTTCATTTTGACCCTCGACGTCAAACACCCATGGAGAAGGTTCCGATCAAGGATGGTTGGTAAAAACACTTTTTTTAGGGTGCGTTTGTTTGGGAAAAAATATTTTATGGAAATATATTTTTCGGACTTTCATCCGTTTGTTTCACTGAAAATAATAAGTCAACTGAAAATATTTTTCGGTCATGAAAAATATTTATGTATAGTGAATTCCTTAATCTAAGCAGGTGAAAACACTTTCCGGAATTATTCGTGTTAAATTTGTTAATATATTTTCTTTCTTTTCTTTCTTTCTTTTTTTCTTTTTCTTTTCTTTTTGAGGCCGGTGATTGGAAAAAATTTTAAATAATTTAAAAAATATAATTTTTTTTTATAATTTTCAGCATCAGATTTTCCTCACCAAACAGCTGAAAATACTTTCCAAGTCTTTTTAGATTTTAGCCAAACATCGAAAAATGAACTCATTTTCCTGGAAAATGACTTCTTGAAAAGTATTTTCCAAAAACGGTATATTTTTCGCGAAACAAACACTTCCTTAAAGTATGAATTGCTCGATAAGATGCTTGCTCGATAAAATGAACTCATTAGGCTGCTTTTATTTTATGTTTTTTGTGATGAATTCTCGATGATCATCCTCCACTAACTAGAACTCAAACGAAATAATAAAAATGTTTGAAATTAAGGTTTCGTTTGTTTCGCGGAAAATAAATGATTTGAAAAAATATTTTTCTAAAAATGATTATTTTTTACGAAATTATTCTTCCGTCGCATGTCAATTGATGACGTGGTGTACAGTAATTATACCTCCCTTAGATCTGGGGTTAGCTTTTCCTGGTCACATTTTCTTGGTACTAATGATGTTATTAGGGACAGAATCAGTCCACTGAAAAAGGTTTTTGTGGTCTCAAAGAAGATGGTTTGAGCCTTTGGGGGTCTCTAGGAGACAAAAAGAAAAAAGGTTTGGGAAAGTTCAGATCTTTTTTTTATTTCATCTTTTTGGCCGAAGTTGGGGGGAATTTCACAAGCTATGTTTGGCCAGGAGGCAGTGCCCTAGCTTTTTTGAAAGTCAAATTCACAAAAAGAAAAAAAAAATAATAAGGAAAAAAACTCAAAAGGGATTAAATTGCAAATTATCCTTAATCCATACACATCGGTTCGTTTGTGAAGATGTAAACAATCTCTCGAACATGCGCCTATTGTATTATTGACGTGGTATGACCGATCGATTATAATACCTCTATGGGTCCAACCAACTTCGCGATTGAAAGTTGGAAAATCTCGATTTTGATGGGCTAGTTTCTCCACACGCCACTATCGTTCAGTAAGACCACTGAAAATACCGCATTCTCATCTAAATAAGCTATAAACTTATTGTAAGAATTAAAAGGCATTAGAGGTCCCTAAGCATTTCTAAAGTTTTATTCCTATTTTTCATGCTTATTTATTTATCTTGATCATTGTGTTAAACATTTGGATAAATATGCCGACATGAAATTCGCATTAATTGCTAATGTTGAATGAAATTAATTGAAGAAATAAAAATTACAAACCCGGTAGCGAGGGGCGGCATGAGAGGAGAAGGGAGGCCATGCGGCAATGATGAAGCCATCGAGCCACCGGTAAGAGTCTAATCGGTGTCCCCATTTGAGCTCATATAATTCTATTTTTCGCCCACTGAACAAAACAAATATATAATATCAGATTGCGATTGCACTCAAAATGAAAATATCAGGGACGATTTTGAACAATTAGAAGGAATTTAGCGGCGTGCCATGACAATATCCCTTAAAAATATCGAGAAGTCCTCTTTTGGTCCACATATGCGGTATAAAGCAAACTTTGACGAAAATTTCAATCTCAAGTTTTTGCCCAGTTCCATCGAAGTCCATGCGTAATATTTACACAGTGACAATGTATTGTGATATAAAAAAAAAATCTGATTTTAAATTCACATGATAATTTGTATATAATAGCATAAATTTCTCATATATTAAATTCGAATCTTCAAGGTTTTTTCTGTTCTATAATCATTTAAATCACTTTTCTTGCTTGATTAGCTTTTGTGCAGGAGGTAATAAATCAGAAAAAAAATCTAGATCATCAGTCAAATCTACCGCAAAGATTTAATCCGCAGATTGTTTTTTTCATGAACTTTCTTCTTTTTGAACTCTTTGCTGGCATCTTGAACCGTCTATTTAGCTGCAGGAGTTACAGGAGACGATCTACTTTTTGGGAAAAAAGAAGAAAGAAACGTCGACGTTCGAGGGGGGAAGAAGAAGTGTTTTTTACGGCCAGTTCACGAGTCAAACGTGGGGGAGACATTAGCGAGGAAGAGGAGACAGCAACGCAAAGCAGCCACTTCGATCGCCTACGTTGGCCCGTCTTGGACCGGATTGTCGTCGTCTTCTTCCCTCTTACTCTGTTCCAGCTTCCCGATTCTGGCTTGCATAAAAAGTCCAAGTCTTCGAAGTCGGGTCAGTCCTAAGTGGAGGTGGGAATCTCCCTCTCTAGGCCCCTCCCTTCTTTGAATTTTCTTCCTTTCTCTCTTCCTGCTTTTTCCAAATTCCTCCCCCCCCCCCGAAGAACAAGTCTAAACTCTCTTTCCTTGGTACTTCTCTCCAACTTCTCTTCCTCTTATATTTGGTGCCGCCTCCTTGGTCCTTCATCGGGCATTGACCACTTTTCTCTCGTGAACTTCCGGAGGAGGAGGGCTCGTGAGTCGTCCGAGCAAGGAGAACCTTTTTGGGCATTCGGCATACCCGCTCGGTTCTTAAGAGAGTGCAGCAGCGCCTTTTCTCATCTGGGTTTGCTTCAAATTTTCGCCTTTTTGGTGTTTCAACAAGTTTGTGGTTCATTCCTCGCGAGTTCTTTTGTCTGAGGTCGTTGCCGAGAAATCTTGATCACAGAGTGAGGAAGCAATGAGCGACTCTGAGGGCGGCGGGACGCTGGACAACTCTGCGGCCGTTGCAATCACCGGCAAGATCATGGTGACAGCAATTATACTCCTTTTCTTGGTCGTAGTCTTTGTTCTTTTCCTCCACTTGTATGCCAAGTGGTTCTGGTGGCGCATGGAGGAGCCCCCTACTCAGGGCAATAACCGCCGGCGGCCGCGGCGTCGCTTCGTGTTCGTCCCTGACCAAGAGATGGCAGCCGTGGCGGCGCGCCGGGGGCTGGATCCCTCGGTCCTGCGGTCCATTCCAGTCGTCCCGTTTCGGCCTAAGGAGTTCAAGGACGGGCTTGAATGTGCCGTTTGTCTGTCTGAGCTTGTCGACGGAGAGAAAGCCAGGTTGTTGCCCAAATGCAATCATGGGTTTCATGTAGATTGCATTGACATGTGGTTTCAATCGCATTCGACTTGCCCGCTTTGTCGAAATTCCGTCGATGGAGCGCCTCAGAGTCACATTGATGTCGGTCCTGAGGAAAGCAGTGTCGAATCTATTAATGAATCTGTGGAATTGAGCGTTGAAGATATTTCAGCCGGTGGATATTCCACGGAGTCCCCGAATTTTCCTACTAATGTGTTGTTCTGGGGTGATGAGACTCAGGTTAGCTCTAGGACTGGTTCTCTGGAGGAAGGCCCTGTTCCTTCGGAGGAATCAGTGACTCCAACTCCTTCGTCCTCAATTCAGCCAGATGGGGCTTTGGTGATTGACATACCGAGGCAGACAATGGAGAGCACGTCGTCCTTTTCGCCATCCACAAGCGGGTGTGCACAAGATGAATTGAAGTCGCCGATGACCACAAGATTGAGGTCTCTGAAGAGGCTTTTGAGCAGGGAAAGAAGAGTGAATCCTTGCAGTCCTACTTCTGCTGATGTGGAGCAAGCTGGGAGAAGTCTGCCTTGTTAATACGAAATTATGTGTTAAAGATGCCAGCGGTCTTCTGCTGCAGTTGATTGATTAAGATGACGATTCATCGATCCTTTTTCAAGCCAATGATTCATTTAAGATGTCAACTTCAGGTCTATTGTAGGTCAATTTGGATGTCCTGCTCTGGAAATCCTCGAGGATTGCCGAATTTGCTGGGTAAGGCAAGCTTCCCAATTTGAGGTGCTTGAACTTTTGTTTTTCTGTACAGAATGAAAAGTTTGATTGAATATTATCAAGGGAAGTTGGTCTCTGCGATTGAGTCGGTGCAACGACTTCCTTATGATGAGTACATTATATGCACAGCTTCTCTGTTTTAGATGATGGAAAACGGATATCCATCATCTTTGACAGAAGATGTAGTATGTGACAACTTCTTTCATTTAAAGGATATTTTGAAGTTATTGCATTGTTTGCTCAAATTTTTTCAGATATCGAGTTTCGCATTCATTTATGTACAAAATTTTATATTCTTCTCTTCCTTTGGACTGTATATGCTCTATCCTTGCATCTTGATGCAGCGACTTCTCTTCTATTATCAGTCATTCTCAAGATTTGGCATAGTGAACTTGCTTAGATTCGGGTTGACTTGCGATCTGATTGAAGTTTGGATTTTCTCATTAGTTCAGTTCTTCACTTCCGCCTCGGTAAAGTTAGCTTTTGCAGAGTACACGCCCCTCAATTATACTGATTGAATATATGTGATCAACTGCGGTTAAATCACGGGGGCTTGTGATTGTAATCACTAAACAAAACTTAAAGCACCGGATGATTCTTCTTTTGCCTTCATGTTAGCTTAGTTTCATGGATGTGGCCCAAGACTTGCCGGTTGTCCATCGCATGGATAGATGAAAGCGCAGTCTTACGTCAACCCTAACGACTCTTCTATTTCAGCTTTTGATCTATCACTTGATCAAAGAAATGAGACAGAGAGAAGCTTTCCAGACTACGTTGCTTCTTAACTGCAAAATAGAGACACTATCAGAGCAATTCATTGCAAAATAATCACAAAACTAATGAACTACCTCAATGTCTCAACAGATCAGGCGCAATCTCCTGTTTTATGTCCTCGCTGTCCATGAACTGCTTCCGAGCTATCATGCAGCGAACGGAAAAGCAAAACCGATTAATTAAAACAAAAATGCACCAGACAATCAATTAAGCTACCCAGTTCTTTCCTTTAAGCATTCCATTACATGCCCAATGCAAGATCTTTTAGATGCTGATCACAACTGCACAACCGTCGTCACAGCTATGAGCTGCTAGGTAACAAAGTAGACAGGACCGTACGACTTCGCACTGCGGGGATCGATATGGTCAAGAGCTGCGTAGGGTATCTCATTCTCCGTTTCCCAGGAGGATCTGAAAAGGCCCGTCAGAGGGCCCGAGGACGAGCCACGGGGTCGCTCACCTGGCTTCCTGGTCCCGCTGCTCTTCATGTATATTGGACCAGAAACGTGATTTCTTATTGGGTTAGAGCTCTGAGAACCGCTTGCAGGTTCAAGTCTGGACTTGCTCTTCTTTTCGAATTTCTTGTATGCTTTCGGCCACCACGAAACGAGAGAATTCTTCCACGATTTCTTGCTCTTCTTGACTTCGCTCAGTCTATCGATATCTTCTACTGGCAATGGAACTCTAGAACTTGCTTCCTCACTTCTGTGCTTTCTTGCTTCATCTAAGAACTGAAGAAAGCCAAAACTTGGTGAAATTAATCTTAAAGAGCAAATCCATAAGACCCCAAGTGATGACAGAAAAACAGGGCTTCATTTTCAGACTAGAGAAAATTTTATCTTCTGGTTAGAAGAGAACAGCCTGCTACTTCGATATTTTTTCAGATATTCATCCCACTTAGTAGTTCCTGTTTCATAAACCCAGAAATCTTGACTGCTCCATGTGCAACATAACACGAAACGAAACCTTTCGTTTGAGCCATTGCTTGTTCTCAAAAGCTCAAGCGATTTTGTTTCAATCTCATCAGAATTATTACCTCGGAGAAGTTCAACACCGGGTCGAGTTCGAAGTCCTCGCCATATTTGCTCGCCTCAGGTTCTCGGGCTATATAGGATTTCTTCATTTTTTTTTTACTTTCAACTGGAATCATGAACAGGGGCTACACGAACAAATTCAAAGAAACATATTTCTAGAGAGAGGACAATGACAAGGGAAGGCATAAAGAGAATGTTGGGAGGTCATACCAGTGGTACGTTAGAAGGGGATACAGCTCCTGGAAGGGCATGAAATAGGCGAGTGACAGACTGCCAGCTACCAAATGAAAACTCACAGAATGTGTGCCTGTGAGGCTGTGACTCTGTACTGTTACATATTAGAGAATGTGGCATTTACTGCTGGTGGTTGAAAAGGGCAACTTGAGATTTTCAGGCCTCTAATTATGGTAAACTGTATTATGGATACATTGGCACTACCTACCGTCCATGGAAAGGTGAATCCACATTGCAATGATCTTGTGATGAGCTTTCATTTCATGGTTCGCACGGGCTCAAGCAGACCGCAAGTGACCACGTTTCGACTACTGGAATACGTGCGCCGAATGGACAAGATTGTCTCGGAACCGCTTATCTTAGGCGCAGCCCCCCGCTATATAGCTTTATAAGTATAGACGGCCCATAAAATTTAAGTCATGATAACTTGTGAGTGGTGGATGCATTTAAAGATAGACGACGATTCGCTTTCATTTTTCTTGCAGTTAAAGGCCTAACTTGATGGGCTCTGCCAAGGGCCCAGGATCAGAGTTTTACATGGATCTTCGCTCTGGGATGTTGCGGTGATGTTGGGTCTCCGAAGACATTTCCGAGTGCGACAATCACGAACTCCTCTCTTGCTGAATCCATGGATAGCAAGCTTTCACTTTACTATAGAACGCAAGTAGAGCTTATCATGGCCCGGCATCTCCCTAGGCTTGCTCGAGGCTCGATCGACACCGCAATCATCGGGGGCCCGAGTGAGCTGTCTTGTTCTTGAGTCTGGCCTGCCCTTAAGGTTTGGCAAAACGACTCCCGCGACACTCGCAAAGCCGCCCTTAACATGCGAAGGGGGAAGAAAATGCAATGAGAAGAGATCCTAACAATGCTGTGTAAAGTTCTGTGTGCTTTTCTGTGAACTTAAATATTCTAAGGAGGTTCATCCAGCCATTCTAGTTTTTTCTTATCTTTTATGAATACATGGTCCATTGTACAATAGCATAAAACGATTTAAAAATAGGAAAGTTTTACACGAGTGATTTTATCCACCCTTGTGACCACCCACTTTCTCACTAACCATCAAATCAATGATGTACGAGGGAAAAAATTACTACGCCAAAGATTTATGCTATATAAAAAAAGGGGAAAAAACCACCAAAAACCCCAAATTTTACCATCTGACACATTTACCTCCGAACTTTTTTGTGACACCAAAATCCCGAACTTTGCTTTTTGTGACACATTTACCCAAATGTATTTAGTCCATGGGCATTTTCGTCTTTTCTCGCTTTTTCTTTTTTTTTCCTTTCCGGCGAGGGCCTCGCCGGCGTCATCCTCAGCGGATCCGTGAGGGGGCCTCGCCGGCCGAGCGAGGGCGGTCCTCGCCGATCCGGCGAGGGCGGCTCCTCGCCGCGGCGGCGAGGTTCGCCCTCGCCGGGCGAGCGAGGGTGGCCCTCGCCGAGGCTCAGGCGAGGTCGACCCTCGCCCCGACGCCGCTGAGGCGTCCGCGAGGGTCGCCCTCGCTTGGGCGAGCGAGGCCGCCCTCGCCCGGCTCGGGCGAGGTCGACCCTCGCCGGCGTCGGCGAGGGTCGACTCGCCCGAGCCTGGGCGAGGGCCTCCCGCCGGATCCGCTAGGGCCGCCCTCGCTCGACGCCGGCGAGGTCGACCTCGCGATCGGGCGAGGGCCGCCTCGCCGCCGTGCGAGTGGCGGACTCGCCCGACGCCGCGAGGGTCGCCCGCCCGGGCGAGCGAGGGCGGCCTCGCCCGACTCGTGAGGTCGACCCTCGCCGGCCGGCGAGGGTCGACCTCGCCAGACGGCGAGGGCGGCCCTCGCCGCCCAGTGCGGCGGCCTCGGCTGCCGGCGCGGCGGTTCGCCGACTCCAGCGAGGTCGACCCTCGCGACGCCGGCGAGGGTCGACCTCGCCCGAGCCTGGGCGAGGACGCCCTCGCTCGCCCGTGCGAGGGCGAACCTCGCCCGACGCCGGCGAGGGCCGCCCTCGCCGACGCCGGCGAGGCCGCCCTCGCCCGACGCCGGCGAGGGCCCCCTCGCTCGACGCCGCGGCGAGGGCCCCCTCGCGGATCCGGCGAGGCAGCGCGCGGCGAGGCCCTCACGGAAAGGAAAAAAAAAGAAAAAAAAAAAAAAGCAAAGCGTAAAAGACGAAAATGCACATGGACTAAATACATTGGGGTAAATGTGTCACAAAAAGCAAAGTTTGGGGTTTTTGGTGTCACAAAAAAAGTTCGGGTAAATGTGTCACATATGGCAAAGTTTGGGGTTTTTGGTGGTTTTTTCCCTTAAAAAAAACGACCTCAATCCGACCTTTACTATTTATTTGCATTGTTTCCATATACTTTCGCATGTCGATTGTATTCATCGAAACATGTTTCATAACCAGACTTTCTAGTTCTGGGTTCAAAAGCCCATCAATCCACTTTTTTTTTCAAATGTCGTGAACCTAATGGTGTGATCCAATAAACTATATATATGGGCCATATGATTCTCATTTGCATTTTCTTTTGATAATTCAGGGGCACGAGCATAGAGACCGGCTACCTGGAGGCTCATGGAAAATTCTGTAAGTCTCATAAATCCATTCCTTTGACCTGTGTAAGTGGTCCTGACCTATAGCAGCTTGCACATTGCCAGTGAATAGTCGAACGGAAAACCTCCGGTTCCTGAGTTGGAAATCACTCGATGCCACAATTATTTTTCTGCTTTAGTTAGTCATCACATAATCACACACCAATATACATTTTAGATTGCGCTTAAGGTCCCCAATACATTTCATCAAATTTCTTCTTTCTCATTGCCTAAAACTGGCGTTTCTCGTTGATTTGAACGTAGCTTCACAAAGTAAACAGGAATAAGCTATAAGACCAATAGCAAGGAAGCCTCACTACAGTATTATAGACTCTTCCTTTTCTCTCTTTTTTTTGGGGGTGGTGAAGAGCTTGCTGAAGTTGACCACAGCAAGATTGCAACCACTCGCGACCGCCGCCCCCGCCGCAACGTGGAGGAAGACGGTGGTTCTCAAACGGTGGGCGGGCAACTGGAGGGCAGCGAGGATCAAGGGAATCGCATCTTTGTTGACTTGCGGGAATTGCTTTGGCAACTACATCATCATTAGAGGGCTTTTAAAATGAGGCAAATTGGCCAATATGTTAATGAGGAAAAGAAAGGTGATGATGAACAACAATCAATGCCGCTTCTTGGGTGAATTCCCCTTGCTAACCCCTTTTCCTAAGTGAAGAGTTTGCAATCACGATTTGGCTTGTTCTTGAAAAAACTATGCAAAGAAAGCAGCCCAAGTAGGAGTTTTTAATTAGCTCTATCATTGCATTTTCAAGCACCTGTTTTGCCTTTAGAGAGAACTTGAAAATAAGTTTAAAGGGATCTTTTCCTTTCTTTCTCACCTTTCTAGCAGAAAAGGTGCGCGCTTAAATGCGAAAAGGATCGAAATTGATTTGAATGAACAAGAGGAAGTGAGATTTGTATCATTTCACGAAACAGATTCAAATTGTTGTGAGATCGGGGAGATCGATTAAGTACAACCCAAGAACAATTTTGTGGAATATGGTGATGTGAACTCACGGTTGCGGTTTTAACTTCTCATTTGGTACGTCGTTCAGCAATACACTGTTCTCATTGACATTGCGGCAAAAATGTCGGCTTCATAAATCCTTTCAGCGAAAGTTCGAGGATGAAAGACGCTTCTCGATTCATTTCGTTATATTTTTATTTTCAAATGGAGTGGAGCGTCCGCATATTCGAGTTCGATTTAGTGCGTAAAATTTTCAAACCGGTAGTGCGATCCTTGACAACATATCTTTTCATTCTGTCCATATCACATCACGACAACACTTACAGAGAATTGCAATGACAAAGGAAGGACACATTTGAACGTGGTTGTAGCTAATGATCGATATCTTCTTCTGTTTTTCTTCCGTTTTACTGCCCTTCCTACTTTTGATTTTCTTTGTTCTTTTGGACAGACATGGATTGCGTGGAGATTAGGTTTATTGTTTTACTAGGAATTCCAGCGTGATTGGCGCGGGCTTTCGAGGTCTACTAAAGAACACGGATATAGGAACCGCCGTTTTGAAGACATTCATTACAAAACGACAGAGATAAAAACCAGTACGCAGGAATCGGGGCAAGCACCACCCACCCATGTTCTCATCGAATAATAGTGGATCCAACAGTCGTCTCGTCATTGTCTGTTGCTGCTATCGCATGTACGACGCGCGATGTCGCGGAACTTTCTTGGTGGGGTACGGGCTTTGCTTTGTCATACATTCCGTTCTTGAATCACATGCAGATCTAAGCGCGACTGAAATATACTTTTTAACTACTGTTTTGACGGGATATCATTTATTAAATTGATGCCCCGAAGGATGCAATGTGAATATGGAACGAGATTGCATGACCAGAGATGTTTTATCAATATCGCTACACAGCTCTTATCAAAGTGGTTTCTTCAAGTCGCCAATTGCGGTCGAAATGTCCCTTTCTTCTCCCCTTGCTTTACCTGAAATATGTTGATGACTTTTCACTTGCGTGCATTACTTGCCCATCTTCATCTCAAGTTCAGTTGCTTCAACGTTATCTATTTCTTTCTTTTAAGTACTCTGTCGGAATACGGAATACACAATCTCGTTTTTTTTTTTTGGTTGTTATTTTAAGAGTTATAGATACTTTCGCCTTTTTTTGTGAAAAATCATAATGATCAAGCAAAACTTCAGAGTGAATATTGTGAATCATCAATCTAATGGATGTCGATGTCATAAGAGATTCCGTCGGACGTAATAAAGTGTTCTTCAAAGAGAATGAATACGGCTTTTTTTAGGGTTTGCTCCTAATTAATAGATCATTTACAGCAATTATAAGGAACAAGCATCTTGCTTTTCATTGGAGAATAAAAACCCACCTCGAATCTTTTTCTTTCTTTTTTTTTCCCTTCTGTTTTAGGAGAAGATATGGACAGGTATTCAACCGGCGCATTTGAATACGTGCACATGCAAAACGGGTTAGGTATATGCTTAGCTGGGCTACTTCATTCATCAGCCATGTGATGAAGGAGAACCAAGCGTGATTGTTGTCGGTGCTATCTTTTCCGAGTAATTTACGAGTTGTAAAGCGAAAGGGGGTATGTAACCCTAATACGTGCTACCACTTTTCTTCGTAAAAAATGAAAAGAAGTGGGCCAAAGTGGGTGCAAGCCAGGGATTATCCAAGCAAAAGATGATGGACATTGAAGACATTTTCGATGCTAAACGTGCTACGCGTACGCATCTTTTTATCGAGAGAGATATGTTTGCTCACGCGTCGAAAGGTAAGAAAGAAGTTAGAGGGCCCGCAATGCCCAGTAACGCGCGGTCGAATTCAACAGGAGTCGCGAACTTGGAAATCGACCGATATGTATCGTTAATCGGCACATTGCCATCCTCGCAATTAATACCTAGAAACCTTTTGTAAAGCGTAAGTTCAAGGTATAATATGCAAAGAAAAGGAATGAAAACCTTTCTTTTTTTGGTGGAAAGTAGGCGGGAAGTGAAAATAAAATGGAAAAATGACACAAACAGTTCATGAATTTTGGTCAAATGTGTAATTTGGTTCTTGAGAACTGGAGGGACACGTTAAGAGATGACCCCACGAAAAGATATATTCTTCACTCTCTTTTTTTTTATAAATTTTTTCCCACTTGCTTTGTTTTTTCCCTTTAAAAAAAAAGGGGGAGTCGTCTTTAATTATTTCTTTTGCTTTATTTGATTTATTTATTATTTTTCCCTCACTTTAACTTGAATCATGCGGTCCTCTTTTGCGAGCGGTGGTGCTTCTTTTGGAAACCGAAATTATCGGAGTTTTCCCGTTTCATTGCACTAGTGTTGCATGTGCAAATTATTCAGTATTTCAATTTTTAATAGACACCGACCAAAAAAAATAAATTTAATAGACATATTATTATTGTTGTTGTTGTTGTTTGTTCAATCGCTCTCGGACAAATGATGCTTTGGTGAGGACTGACAGAGCAAAGAAAATTTGGGTATAATTTATTTAAAAAATCAAACGAATTTGAATGTATGAGACATGACGAGGAATTGGTCCGTTCGAGAGGTCATAGAAAATTCGGATAAAATTTATTAAATTCCTTTATTCGATTCTTTAACAAGTGGTTCAAAAACACTCTTTAATAGCCAACGCCGAATCTACAATTTCTATTGAATTTTGGACGAGAATCGTGTAACGATATATTAGATTTGTCACGAGATAGATAAATAGATGAAAATTATACACCACAAAAAGTAAGAGCACTGAGAAGCGCGGCTTCCGGCTTTTCTTCAATTAATTAATCATTTTAACCGTTCGGAAACTACTTTTTGAATACACATTTAATCACCAACGATATAATTATGGGGTGTTCAAATAGACTCCTTACCTTTACTTTTTTCCGGTGTAAATTTCACGATGGAAGCATTTTGACTTTTCATTAATCCAAAACATCCGATGTTTACACAAAACACACATGTCAACACGTCAAGATTTCAAAATTTTGGAAAGTGAAGAGCCGATTCTAATTATTTATAAGACTTAACCAAATGAAGTACTTAATTAATGGAAAGAATCGAAAACATATGAAAAAATCTAAAGTGCAAGTTGGATTTCTTTTCATTTGGCCAAGAACTTTTGTCTAAAGATTTCAGCTACAAGTTGCGACGGGCAATGCCAGAGATCGACCGAAAATGGATTTGAATTTCAGCTGCAAAGTTGCGACGGTCGATGCCAGAGATCAAACGAAAATGGATTTGGACTCGTGATATATATAATCACATCATGGATAATGATGAACAAGGGTTAAAGGACATATGTTCCAAGACGATAATTACTCTCAAAAGGCCAAAAAATATTCCTCGTTTATCCTAGAAAAAGTCAAGTTGCAAATCCGCAGCGGTCCGTACCCAAAGATTCAGAATTCGAGGAGGCAAAAAAAGAGAAATGTAAGACAAAATCAAGTTACCAACTCACGTGGAATTCAAAAGCCAAAGGGCATATTTTAATGTAAAGCAATACTGAAAGTCTCAAATATTTTAAGAAATACCAACGTTAATACCCGACTTCATTTGGAATATTTTAAGGTTTTCTTCGAAAAGCAAAACGTGTTTTATGTTTTTACGAAGGACGACATCTCTTTCGGGGCTTAAAATTGAATCAAACGCCCTTTAAAGAGACGAGAGCGAAAGCAACCCCCGATACAATCCCTAAACATTTAGTCATAACTTTGAGTACACTCAAAGAGTTGCCTAAGTATGGACCGATTAAAACTTTAATTACACTAATAAACTTAAGTAGGTTGTAAGTGAAATAGATAATCTCAATCCAATCTCTCACGGTTATTTATATGGTTGGATAGCCGTCATTTGGTTCGTCTATCATATATTAGGTTACTTCCAATTATACCCTTAAATAAAAATTCTCTCACTCACGCAATAAAACGACAGCAAAGTAAGATTCCACTTTTGTAGAGCACTTTCTCACTTACTAACGTACCTCGCATTTTGACCAAAAAAAAAAAACGTACCCTGCATTTATAATGGTTACACAAAATCTTCTCCATCAAAATTTTCAAATCATCTCAACTTTCTATCACCATTCTCTCGTTAATTTTTGCAACAATATGCATGATGATGATCGACCACCTAAACTCCTCATAAAAATATGCATGATGATAAACAAGCACGCGAGTAGCGCATGCATAAAGTCTGGTTAATTAAGACTTGTACTTAATTAATGGAAAGAAACGAAAGGGCGAAACCTTTCGGGTGGGGACTATCATTCACGCATCCGATGAAGTATCCAAGCAAAACATTAGAAAAAATCTAAAGAGTGCAAGTTGGATTTCTTTTCATTTTGGCCAAGACTTTTTGTTTATAGATTTCGGCTACAAGTTGCGACGGGCAATGCCAGAGATCAAACGAAAGTGGATTTGGACACGTGATGGAAAACGGGGATAAAGGGTTAGAGACATTTTCCAGGACAATAATTACACGCGTAAGCCCAAAAAAAATATTTTTTTCCCTCTTTTATCACAGAAAAATTCAAGTTGGGACCTGCAACGGTCCCCGCCCAAAGATTCAGAATTCGAGGAGGCGAAAAGGAGAGAAAACAAACGTAAAACAAAATGAAATTGCCAGTTCACGTGGAATTTTAAAGCCAGAGGGCATATTTTAAGGCTTAATACCTTAAAAAACCTCCGACTTTAGCTTTTGTCAGAATTTTGCCTTTCGTCCGATAAAAAAAATCTTCGGGTTTAGGTCATGTCTTAATTCTACTCTACTATAAACTTTTTTTTTGTCCTATGAAAAACCCATAGCTTTAGGTCTTGTCCTAATTTTACTGTACAGTTTCAATTTTATCCTAAAATTTTGGCAGTCTCATAAGAAAGCACAAAATTTTACTGGAGTCACAAATCTCCTCCCATTAATCCTCTGTTCAAAATTTCTTATTAACAACCAAGAGATGAAAAACTCCCAAACACAAGTTGTTTGAGCGTCCCAAGCGTGAGCTCTACAATCGCGAGAGATGGAACGAGCACAAGAGATCGAAGACCAAGCGCAAAATCCCTAAGTGCGATTTTGATGAAGGGTTAATGGAGAGCAGATTTGGAACTCGAGTATAAGTTGATGATGCTTTACGAGACAAAAAAATTATAATAAAATTGAAACTAGACCTAAAGCTGGGATTTTTTTATGAGATAAAAAAAAATTTAGGATAGAATTGGTACTGAACTTAAAGTTGAGAGTTTTTTATGAGACTAAAAACATTTATGGTAGAATTGGAATGAACCTAAAGTTTGGGATTTTATGAGACAAAAAAAATTTAGGCTAGGATTGGGACATGACCTAAAGTTGATGGTTCTTTATCAGACAAAAGGTAGAATTTGGATAAGAGTTACAGTTGGAAGTTTTTTAGGTTAGGCCCATATTCTAAAGTCTCAAATATTTTAAAAAATACAAACGTAAAGATCCGACTTTATTTGGAAAATTTTACGGTTTTCTTCGAAAAGTAAAACATATTGTTATGTTGTGTGAAAGACTGTATATTTTTTTTTGGGGCTTAAAATCGAATCGAACGCCCTTTAAAGAGATGAGAGCGAAAGCATCCCGATATACTCCCTAAACATTTAGTTATAACTTCGAGTACATTCAAAGAGTCGGCTAAGTACGGACCTATTAGAACCTTAATTACACTAATAAACTTAAGTAGGTTGTAAGTGAAATAGATAATTTCGATCCAATCTCTCACGGTTATTCATCTGGTTGGGTAGCTTCATTTGGTTTGTCTATTATACATTAGGTTACTTCTAATTACACCCTTAAATAAAAATTCCCTCACTCATGCAATAAATGACAAGGAAGTAAAATTCCACTTTTGTAGAGCACTTTCTCAATCACCAACCTACATTTTATTTTGCGATAAAAAAAAAACCTACCTTTTATTTTGACAAATAAAACCCACATCTTCACAGAACTCTCTTCATCAACTTTTCAAATCATCTCCACTTTTTATCGTCATTCTTTTATTAATTTTGAAAAAATATTACCGATAATAATCGATCGTGCGCACGCAAGAAGCGCATGCATAAAATCTGGTTAATTTTATGCAAGGAGTTTATGCGCACTCGAATATTATTTTAACTCGGTCGATCTTGTAAAAACGTTCAATCCTCTCATGATTTAGGTTAATAATGCTATACGTAGGTCTATTTTTAGGAGTAGGGAATGTGCTATCCAACCACTTCGTGGGTGGAGGGTTTCGAATATTTTCTTTGTGCTTATGACGATCCTTTAGGAAGGAAAAAGAATTATTTGATACAGGTGGAAAATAGAAATATAAATAGCGAAAAAAATATAAAAAAAAACTAACAAAAGAAAATCAATGCTATATCAATCATAAAATTGATCAATCATCCGTATCATTAATGATTGATATAAATTGTGTACAAGAAAAAAGTATTTAAATTTTTTTCTATCTTTATATGCACACTCCCATCGACCATCACACTCCCATCGACACACTGAGGCTCCTATCTAATCCTGTCTTCTTCACAATGGCCAACGCCAAGCAAGTCCTCGCCGGAATCTCAACTTCCGGCAGGAGAAACCGGAAGCTCCTCCTCTCCATCTCCGGTTGCCTCCTCCTCGTCGCCGCCGTGATCGGCATTGTCGCCGGCGTCAACTCTCGCCACCACGACCGGGGCTCCGACGTTACCACCCTCACCCCATCGACCCACGCCATCCTCAAGTCCTCGTGCGGCTCCACGCGCTACCCGGACCTCTGCTACTCCGCGGTCGCCGCCGCCCCCGGCGCTGCGGCGGGCCTCGCCACCCAGAAGGACGTCATCGAGGCGTCGCTCAACATCACCACCCTCGCCGTGGAGCACAATTTCTTCGCCGTCGAGAAGCTCCTGGGCAAGAGAGGCAAGAGCCTGACGAAGAGGGAGAAGAGGGCGCTCCACGACTGCCTCGAGACCATCGACGTGACGCTGGACGAGCTCCGGGAGGCTGCGCGAGACCTGAGCTCGTACCCGAGCGCAGCGAAGTCGCTGACGCAGCACGCCGACGACCTGAAGACGCTGATAAGCGCGGCGATGACGAACCAGGAGACTTGCCTGGACGGGTTCTCGCACGAGGACGCCGACCGGCGCGTACGGAAGGCGCTGGCTGAGGGGCAGGTCCACGTGGAGAAAATGTGCAGCAACGCGCTTGCGATGATCAAGAACATGACCGACGCCGACATGGCGGCGGAGCGCAAGGCCGCGGCAAACCGGAAGATGCTTAAGGAAGAGGATCGGGTTCAGGTACGCGATTATAGCCATTTTTGGTTAATGTGGTCTTCTTTACATAGCAATGTTGAAGATAAAAAAGCTTCGCCGGCCATCCCATCAACGGAGTCTGCCTAAAATTCTTTGAACTAGGGTGACGAGAGCGCGTGGCCGGAGTGGCTGTCGGCGGGGGACAGGAAGCTGCTGCAGTCGACGGTGGTGACTCCGGACGCGGTGGTGGCGGCGGATGGGAGCGGGAACTACGAGACGATTTCGGCGGCGGTCGCGGCGGCGCCGGAGAAGAGCAGCAAGCGGTACGTAATAAGGATAAAGGCGGGGGTGTACAGAGAGAACGTGGTGGTGTCGAAGAAGAAGACCAACCTGATGTTTGTCGGCGACGGGCAGACCAGCACCATCGTCACCGGTAGCCGGAGCGTGAAAGGCGGTTACACCACCTTCGAGTCGGCCACCGTCGGTACGTGTTTCTACTGACTAAAAATGCTTTGTTTGTTAGAGTACACGTCACTCGATTACGCAGTAAATCGTCATAAAAGATTAGTCAACTACTAAGATACGCACACTTTGAGGGTAACGAAGGGCGTGTAAATTCACCTACTTTTGCTAGCATTACTGCACATACATAATTGCTGTAGGTACAACCTTATCTCGGGCTAAGTTATAAGGGCAACAAAATCATCAATAATCAGAGCTCAATGAAAGCTGGCCGAAATGACTAACATCATTATTGCCGTGTTATGTTTGGAAAGCTAAGGAACATTGGGGAAAAAAAGAAGGTACAAATCTCATTTATATTGGTCCTGGAGCTGAATCATCAAGACGAGGACCTCACACATACACAGGAGATACAGATTGGCCCTCCCTCTTATGATTTTCGTGCGGTCGTACTGTCAATCAGGCTTGTCAAAGTCAAATTGGTGATTAGCACAACAGTTTGCGCACTTTTTCGAGTGATAAAAGCGTACTTAACAAGTTTTAGCAACAAAAAAAAAAAGCCTACTTAACAACATTAAGAATATAGCCCTTTTTATTCAACACAAACACATATGACGGGTTCAGACCAAAGTTAAAGTTAACTATGAAAAACATTGCTTTGCATGATCCCAGTTCTTTAAGAATTTTATATATGTCGAGCTCCTAAACGTTTTTTAAAAGTTAATGTTGTGCAAAAATTTGTTTCTAAATTGAGGTGATCGTGGGGGGTTTTTGTATTTTGCTCGTAGCCACGAGCTGTAGTAACTCTGCCCAATTCGGACATATAGCTCGTGTGGGACTGGAGTCTCTCTCCGTCTGTCCTTCGTCCCAGTTCGGGATACAGAAGTGGATTACAGCCGAGCTGGACGTGGACAAGTCCTTGATTGGCGCTTTACCCTCTCTCGTCGAACTGATATAAAGTGTCAAAACGACAAGTCGTAGTCCCCTTTTTTGTGCTTTTGTTCTGCTTTCCTCCGTTCTAGATTTTACGTACGATTCTGCGCTTCCCACGTTGGCACGACGAGGCGACAGGGACAGTTCCACTTCCGGGAAGCTTCCCTCCTTGGTTTCCCTTTCTCCTTTCTGGTCTCCTCGCGCCTGTAGTAAAGCTAGATGTTAATCTCTATATTAAGGCAGACCTGTTAGTGAAAAATATAAATAATAATGAGAAAAAGAAATGCATGGCTGGGCCGGGCTGGCCCCTCCAAGTCCTTTGCCCGGGCCTGGCCCGCCGGGTGGGCCGTCCGCCCGTCTATCCCGACTTGCATTTTTCTGATCGCATGATTAGGAAGAATGAAAACTACCGAGCACCCTCATTCACGGCGGGTTTTTAGTGTCGTCTGCCGAATCTTTTCTTTTCTTCGTGTCGGTGGGTTGGCGTGAGTGATATAACATCATACGTCTATCAAAGCTGTCTCGCACGTCATGTTTGATTCTCCTCCTCCTCCGTTTGTGCCTTGAATGTGGCGAGCATCACGACCATGCAACGCGCGTGGCAAGAAATGCACTGAATTAGGTTGTGGTTTGGTACAGCTTCGAACACCATCCTGTTTTGACTAGTTCTTGGTACTGGGGTCCTGCTTGCGAAAGTCGTTGCTAGTATCTTTCCTAAAAGGTTAACTAGAACCTTATGATGATATGTTAAATGCTAGCAGATTGAGTTAAGGATCGAGGGATGAATGGAGTAAAACCTTGGTCTAGTCAACGATATGAATGGACTTTTCTATGTATATGGAGTGGCAGACAAGAATGGAGTGAAAGTTCTGCATTCGAACGCCTGTGGAAGCTAACACAACGTTTGAATGCTATCTAAAGTGAACGATCGCCTTATTCAAAAGGAAAAACAAAAGGCCAAACGCTTGGTTTTGGAATCAGGGTTTGTAGATTATACATGATGGTGACTGCAAGAATGTTTTCATATATAGACAACTAGATCCCGAATGCCCGCACGCGTGGTTGTTTTCATGCTTCTTTATGTAGTAAAAAATTTCGATTGATGTCGACGTCCGAGGAAATATGCATGCGAATGTGAGTAATCAAACTGAGAAATGTGTTTAAGTGGGGAAATTTTTCACACAGTAAATCAAAACTTAAAGTTTACAAGAAGACTTCACGACGTAGGAACATGTATTCTGCAGATTTCCTGTGATTATTTCCAGGTCTAGTACTTAGAAAGGAACATGTATCCTCTTTTGATAAATGTGATCAGATGACTTTCTATTGCCAAAGTATTGTACCATTATTTGTTTATGGAAATTTGACGTTTGTCATGCACTGCAGCGGTGGTCGGCGCGGGTTTCTTGGCCAGAGATATTACCTTTCAGAACACCGCCGGCGCTTCGAACCACCAGGCTGTCGCGCTCCGCGTCGGCGCCGATCTCTCCGCCTTTTACCAATGCGACATTCTAGCCTACCAGGACACGCTCTATGTCCACTCCAACCGCCAATTCTATGTCAAGTGCTTCATTGCCGGCACAGTGGACTTCATTTTTGGTAATGCGGCTGCCGTCCTCCAGGACTGTGACATCCACGCTCGCAAACCGAACTCTGGCCAAAAGAACATGGTTACTGCTCAAGGCCGAATTGATCCGAACCAAAACACGGGAATCGTGATTCAAAAATGCAGGTACATATGTAGGAATGAAAATGTATATTTGTGTTTACAATATCGTGTAATTCCTCTAATAATTCAATAGCTCGAAATCACTATGTGTCCATGATACCACACCCTAAATTGTTACCGATGATGCAGGATTGCCGCGACGAGCGATCTCCAATCGGTGAAGAGCAGTTTCCCGACGTACCTCGGTCGTCCATGGAAGGAATACTCAAGGACGGTGATTATGCAGTCGTCCATCTCGGACGTGATCGACCCGGTGGGCTGGCACGAGTGGAGCGGGACATTCGCCCTAAGCACATTGTACTACGGAGAGTACCAGAACACCGGTGCAGGCGCCGGGACCTCGTCTAGAGTGAAGTGGAATGGATTTAAGGTGATATCGTCAGCGACGGAGGCGCAAGGATTCACCGCCGGGACGTTCATCACCGGAAGCAGTTGGTTGAGCTCCACTGGGTTCCCATTTTCACTCAGCCTGTGAGCAAGATGAATTGGTGTGCACAGTGACTGCTGATCTTTCAAATATTCATTAGGTTACTGTTCAACGCCTAAGAGGAGCCAAAGTATTGTCAGTAATAGAGATCTTTTTTAGAGAAATGAAATCTGGGCATTGGACTGACCGTGGAAATTACCATCGGGATATCTAGTGCAAATCATGAGAAGAGAAGACTTGTGCGTTTGGTGTCGTTCTTGAGTAGTCAAAATAAATCGATTGTGTTCTATGAAATCTCCGAAAGAGTATGATTGAATTCATCAGTGCTCTTTGCAGTGCGATCTATAGCGATCAAAGAAGTGCCTCGGTATCATTAGGCAAAACAGAGACCAGAGAACACGATTAGTGGCCGGATCTCGGACGCCAGAATTAGACGTGATCAATAGGCGGGCGGGCGGGTGGGCTTAAGTAAGCCGGGTGGCATTTGATGCCAGGCCTCAAAGTCCTTGTTCAGGCCTGACCAAAGCTAAATGGATGGATCTCGACTCAAAAGGGAATACTTGTCTAAGCCCGCTAAAGTCGTGCTTCAAACACGTTAGATCATGCGGATTCCACGTGATTTCGACTTCATTTAACGGCATGTAGTAAGAGTAAGCAAGAATGACCAAAGTTCCAATAGATACCCCTTCACCAGTTCCGCAAAGTCAACCCGCAGAATGATCAAAGTTCCAATATAATTGTAGACCACGCTCGCCAATTCCCAAAGCCCTTGATACAACACCATTGGGAATTTGCCCAAAGGCTGTTCCTTAGCACGTAATGGTTTTGTCCTGTGAGAGCGAATTAGAAAAAGAAAAACGAATTAATAGATTAATGATCTGTTTATTTCACAAAAAATAAATGATTTGGGAGATATTTTTTAAAAAAAACGATATCTTGTATCGTTTGAAATAATTAGTCAATAGAAAATAATTTTGTTATCGACAACAATTTTTGTTTGAAATTTGAATAGTGGTGTCTGACATTTTAATTTATTCAATATAATCCTCAAACTCTATCCTAATGTGCAATGTCGTCTCTGAACTTTTAGTTTGTTCAATATAGTCCTTGAATTTTTTGTACATTTTCAATTTAGTCCCTGGACTATATGAAAATGTTAACTATTTCCCATGATCTAGAATTAATGGAAGGTCTACATTGAACATGTAATCAAAGTCAAGGGATCACATTGAACAAATTAAAAATTTAGAGACCATATTGAACATGGCTAAATGTCACGCCCGAACCCGCGGCGCACGACATCCCGCTACGGTCGTTATAATGCGACGTCCCAGACTCGTCGCCGACCCTTTCTTTTTATCTTTTAATTACGCATGCGGAAAACGATCACAACAATCCCCGGACAACAACAACAAACAGGGATAGTTAGGAAAATAATTCACAACAGTCAAACCACACTATTTTGATTTTCACTTGATTAACCCCTAGGAACATTCTTACAAGCCCACATCGGGCACTACCACAAAAGCCAGCAAAAAGAGTAAAGGCTAGGGTTAATCTACTCCATCAACAAGTCGATCCCAAAAAGCCGCCTTCCAGGCCCGAACCAAACTGGGTGCAACAACATGCTAGGGGCACGAAAAGTGGTTAACAACAACAAATGAGACGAAAGTCTCAATAAGTTAACGACCTAAGCCCCGCTTAGAGGCTAACTCGCACGGGGTCCCTAACCGGGCAATACAAATCAACAAACATCATTAAACGATCACAGGCATCCTTACCTCGCCTTGGGACACTCGTTGATGAAATGCATATGTCGCAAACTCGAAGCATCTAGATCAATTACTCATGCATCAATGCATCACAAGCGGGCGTGTCCCGATTATAAGATAGAATCCACTTGAGCACGTCCCATACCATGCCTAGCGTTTCTACCACATAATCGGGCACTATGCATCACACGTATTCCAGTTATTACGCCCCTGGGCCACCACACATCAAGCGATACGCGGCAAGATGGCGGTCTACCGGTAAAAACCGAGCTCCGTCCCGCCCTCGGCACGGCTACGTCAAACGATCTACGAGAAGACGACATTCCAATACGGCAACATCAAACGATCTACAGTAAGATGGTATCCCGTAAGAGCATCGAGTCCGCCTCGGGCCGCGACAAGGCATCCGGTATCGGCACTCCGATTATCCCCGCATCCGATAACGGGCAACGTCAAGCGATACACAAGAAGACGGCTTTAACGTGTGACCACACGAGCACACAAGCATTCCTGCCAATTATTATCTTCTCAATTAGCCCATGCATACATGAATCGTGCTCTCCTCGATGTCATACAATAATACCAAGTGGCCACACATGCAAACAATCCAATCAATTCTTGCACTCTTCGATATCAAACACGAATATCAACCACAAAGTATCATTAACATTACTTGGCATAACAGTAATAAAATAATTTAATTCCAAAAGTCTCATAAATTTTTCCACGAAAACTTTCGATCAAACAATTTGCCATAAAATCAATTTAATACGACAATACGCGGCAAAATCGCCAACATTCAAGCTAGAAATCATAATTTGAAATTATAAATTTTCCGAAATAACAATAAATTAAATTCGGAATTAATTAATTAATAATATCCGAAAATAATTTAATTTTCCAAAATGTCAAAATATTTCCTCGAATCGAAATCATTCAAATCATTTCCTTAAAATGCCAATTTATACGGTAAAATCCAACATTGGCATCACAATATGACGTTAGAAATTTTCCGAAAATAATAATATTTAATTTTCGGAAATTAATTATTTAATAATAAAATATTAATATTTAAATCCGAAAATAATAAAATAATATTTAATTCCGAAAATATTTTTATTTAATAAAATAATCAACAATATTAATATAATTGATAACCTATCACCACATCACGATAACTTATCACACGAACGATAACCTATCACCAAAGATTATCTAATAATTCAACATTAATTTAATCTAAACCTTAATTAAACTTAACATAAACTAGCCTAAGCAAGTTTAACACCCTAAACACGGGATTAGGGGTTAACTTACTCGGCTAACGCCGGCGACGACGCGAGGACGACGGCGGCGACAAGGGCGGTCCGCGGTGTCCTCGGAATGCTCCGGTGAGCGACGAACGGGCGTGGCGAGGGGAGACAGCTCCTGTAGTGGCTGGTCGGGGCTGCTCGGGGCTGGTTCCAGGACTGAACGGCGGCGCAAGGCGGTAGGCGGCAGTGGCTGGGCTAGTCACCGGCGAGGCGCGGTCGAACGAGCAGCAAGCAGGAGCGAAAGCCAGAAGCAGCGGCGTCGGGGGAGGGTAAAGCGGCTGGCGAAGCCTGTCCGCGGTGAACGAGCGCGGTGAAGAAACGGCCGCTGTGGGGCTGCTCCGGCGTGGCCTGGCTGTTCCCTACGACTGGGACAGCAGCGGCGACGGTCGGAGGTGGACGGCAGAGTCAATCCCGGCAGCGAACGGAGCTGGATAGGGCGAGCTCGGTCCGACGAGCTGCGGGTGTGGCCGGCGACGGGCAGTCGCGGCGACGGGTGGCGACTGGGCCGACGAGAACAGGCCGGCGGTGGCAGCAAGTGAAGAAGCTAGAAGCAGCAACAGCAACCAGCAGAAGTAGAAGCCAGAAGCAGAACGAAGAAGAAGCACATGCACGAAGAGGAAGCACGGCCAAGAAGGAAAAGAAGGAAGAAAAAAACAGAAAGAAATAAAAAGGAAAAGAAATGATGGGCTTTGGTTGGGAATTGGGGGAGTCAGAGGGGAGTGGGTGAGAGTCAGAGGCGTGGAGGGGTGTCGGCGGGGAAGGGGAAAAGAGAGAGAGAGAAGAGCAAAGGTCAAATCGTAATAATCGCGATCCAATGGTCACGGTTTAAACCCGAAAAACGATCCGACGGTCTCCGAAAAATCCTAATTAATATTTTTAGGATTTGGCCAAAAAGGGTGTTAATAAAAACACACTCGAGTGCTGGTTTACTTCCAAATTCGCACCCGATCAAAAATTCACTTTTCACGTATCCCGGGTAATATCGAGATTGGCCACACTAATATCGACACCGTCCAATTAAATTTGTTCGAATTCCAAGAAATTCAACACCAAAGTTTGGGCTCAAATAACGCCAATTCGATCGAATGCGATTCTAGCGAAATCTCAATTTTAAAAACAATAACCGGAAGTGATCGGTTCCGGGCGAGATTTTACTATAAGCACACCGACGAATTACACGTTTTATAAATCCCAAAAATGTGCCAAAATTCGGAATGTCACACTAAAATTCAGGAATCACATTGCACATTAGATCAAAATTCATGGACCATTTGTGTCGTTGTCCCTTAAATATTATCGTGAACGGTGAAAATATTTTTTGTTCCTTTATCATTGTAAGTGATACAAATGATCAATTTTTGGAAAATATTTTGCCAAATTATTCATTTTCCGCAAAACGAACATGGCTCTTGACCGGGTCTCCCTTCGGTCATGGAACTGGTCCCTTCTTGCAAAACGATCGGGACGTCGAAAATATTTTGCCAAATCTCTCGTTTTTAGGGTATTCAATTCTGTGTTGCTTCTATAACGTGAGGTCAAGTAACAAGGAGGTTGCTCTTACCAGCAAATGGACATGGCAACAACGCGGAACGAAATCGGAGAAGATGTCAAGTGCCGACTTTGATTTTGCCAAACTCACTATTTTCTTAATATTGGAATGCAGACGATTCAAAATACACATAAAAATATATGTATAAGCAAACGAATTAGTAATTAAAAAAACCTCAAACTATACCCACTGTAATACATTTGCCATAAACTTTTTTTAGTGACTTTAAAGATTCTAAACTTGTACTTGTTTGACACATTTTCCCTCCGTCAATGACCGTTAAGGATCTGCTTACATTGACGCTGGAGACTGGGCAGCAAGCATTGTTGACATGGTGCTCGCGTGGCTCAAATGAAACAAAAACGATGTTGTTTTGACTAAAAAAATCATATGATAAAATATTGGTGGAGGCTAAACTTGTCACATAGATACAAGTTTGAGGTTTTTTCATGTCACAAAAAAAAATTTAGTATAAATGTGTCACAATGAACATAGCTTGGAGGATTTTTTTGTGGCTTTTTTCCTTTAAAGAATTTATAAGGATGGTCCATCTGATTTTGTTAAATGGATAGTCATTATCGGAGAAAGTGTCAAAAAAGTCTTAAATCTTTTGCATTGGTGCCAATTTAGTCCTAAACCTTTTTTTATGCCAATTCAGTC